CGAGTCGTGCAAGACCCCGATCTCGATACTCGACCACGGTTGCAGTCACTCCGGGGAGCCACTTGGGTCAGTGCCGCTCTCTGACTGGATTTGTACCGGCCGGAACGGTCACACAGCACGGAATCAGAAATGATCGCTCTTGGCGTTCTTTTTGAGCTAGCTCCGGAGCTTATTATCGCTCAACAGTGTCATTATTAGAGTTGCCGAGTACAGATTTGAGGGAGGAGTTAGAGCTGGTCGAAATTAGCGACAGCACCGTGATCGATCTCCGCGCGGAAATTTCCTGCCATTTCACAGACAAGAGAAAAAAATCCACTCCCCGTATCACGGGAGAATGCTCTTCCTAGAGTTTTTCCGTCTGTCTGTCCCTATGTATTCAGGCCCTCTATTTGCTCCGCCAGATTCTTATACAACGGCAATGGTGAATGTAGCGGCCTGAGAGCCTCGTCTGTCCCGACATTTCTTCTCCGCTCTTGACGCATCGCTGTTGTGCACAGCTTCTGGTCGATTTTTCGTCTTCCCTCGGCAAATAGGCTGTGTCATCGTTTCTACGAGGTATTTGTACGAGTAGCTCCATTTCCCCTCATGCGCAAGACTTTGACTTCCATCGAGGCCAAGGCAGACCCGCTGGCGGTGCTCACCACTACATTTTGGAAAAAACACCCGTTATTAATGTACGCTCAGATATACAAACGCGCGGCTTCAGCCCTTTGGAGAGTCTCGATTCAGCTCCGTTTAGCGGAGAAATTCCGGTCGTCCCGAGAGTCTTTCGAGGATCGATGATACAGGAAGGAAGATCTATCACAGCCGTGAAACATCTAGGAAATCATACCTCTGTATTATAGACTGATCGAACGCGCTCAGTTCAAGCTGCAGCTAGGATGATCGAGCTCGCGGTCGAGCTAACAACAAGATTTTCTGGTGGCTGATCTGCAACATCCGCGCTTCAGTTGATGCGCTCCCCGAGAGACGTTTCATTTTCTATTGGTAGATTTTGCTCTCGAGGCAGAAAGTGGAGGACACCTCCTTTCGTGCTCTGAATAATAAAATGGAACTCGCCTCATTCTAGCTCCAGTCAGCCGAGACCAGAGATAACGAGCCCTATAATCCAAGTCTCAAAGTATAAGTTGCCGCCTCGCTGGACACACGAGCCGGAGAGGATGAAAACAAGCAATTATTATTCTTACGATTGAAAGATCGCCATCGGAAGGCGTTCCTGTAGTGAGGAACATTCGATGTAAGCTACAAGCGTCTTCAACTTCCTGAAGTGAGTGAAACTCATTCTCAGTTAGTGAGATGCATCGACTTGTGAACATCAGAACCCAAACAGTTCGGATCACTTATGTGCAAAAGCGCCATCTTTCGCAAGCGAGGCTCGCTCTAATCATCGCGGTAATTTTTTTACTAAATATTCGCAGTCCGTCGACGACTCGGGCTCGGAGGATCCGGCATTGTAACATCGAAGTTTTCCTTCTTCAATTGGTAATTAATTATTCAGTGATATGTTCGATCAGCAGCCACCGCGGCTGGTTGGGTAAGCGAAGGGATCGCATCTGCGAGGACGGGGGCGGCGACCTGTTCACGACTGCTCATTGTGAGATCTCATCGACAGGTATACCTGTATCCCATCGTAAAAATTCGAAGAACCTCATCACCATTCGACTTGACCCTTCATCCATGTCCGAGTCGACCGAGATTCCTCCTCCCGCAGAGCTCATGGGAATCATAACCCCGGAAGGTAGAATTTTCCACAAATCATGGGGAGCTTCATTCCGTAGAGTGGATTCACACATGCCTCATGTGGGTTCCGGGGGCCTCTCTCAATTCCAACTTCAAGCCGGAGAGCTCGCACAGAGCAATTGTCTAGCAATAGATATCCAGCAGGATTCCGAGCCCTTGATTTTTTCGAGTGTGCCCGTTCGATGCACGGACAAGTCAAGGTCGAGACCTGAGAGGCTGTCAAAGCGATATTCTCAACAAACCAAAAAATCCCTTTTCACGTACCCGTCTGACGAAACCCGAGAAGAGATGAGAAAGCGTCGGAGATAGGGAGAAGGACCATTGGACCACCAAGAGCGCGATGTGATCCATAGCTTTCATGCCAGTGAAGGATACTACGTACAATCAAACAGAAAATAGTCGCCTTCGATCGGTTGCGCCCACCGGTTTACGGGGAGAATGCATTCAATGCTCAAAACTGTCAGAACTCCTCGGATATCTCCGAGCATTCATCGGATCAACTCATAATAAGATTCGTTCTGAGCTGCGAGATAATCGTTATCCAGCGACGGACCGTGGAGACGATAGGGTTGGTTGGGTTTAGAAAATTTCTAGGAAATGATGAGGCAACAAAGTGTAAATAAAAGTCATTGTCCAGAAAAATCCTTGACTTTTGCAATATCAGTCGCTTCTACATCTTACGCTAGTCAGGCGGGCAGCACGCTGGTTCAGTGACTGACTGGTTGGTCGGTTGCCTGCTTGACCGACCGGCACTGCTGGTTATGGGAGAATTTATCCAACCTGGAAGAACGATTCCGTCGCTCATTAGTTCATGCTTTCATAACGTCATTTGTTGCGCCATGTTGAAACGGAAACACGCGCTTCGAGAGCTTTCACACTTCTGGAACTCGGACCTTCAAAATTCCGATCTAGACCATTGGCTGAATTGAAAGAGAGTCGAGTGAAAAAGAGGCCCTGAAACTCGGACTGGATCTTCGAACGCAGGGAGCTTCCATGTGATATGATTTGGCACCACATCGGTCGGGCATCGTCTGATACCTACAGATGAGTGCCCCAACCCTAGATACGATAAGAGATGCATGAGAACCTCCAGCCTGATGAAAATTTGTCGCTGATAACACACTTCGTCAGCCTGCAGAAAAAAAATATTCTCAACCTTCTCCTGGAGGATACCCTTCCTCCTGCATCGGTGAAAGTAGGGGGACTCGTGGGGAATATCTTGCAGTTGATTCCCTGGTTTTTTAACGGAGGAATTCCTTAGCAGTGGTTCACGGCAAAGTGCTGCTTCATCGATTTCTGTAGCCGGCAGGAGGTTGCTGATCATGTCCCCTCGCATCGGTTGGTGAGAGCTTCCGAAGCTCCAAGCCTCGTCCGCTCCACAGAACAGCAGAATTTCTCGTCCTTCCGAAAACACTCTTTGAACCGGCTCCGTATGGATGGACTCGAAGTCATCATACTGGGGTGAGGAGCCCCCCCATATTCTTCGCTCCCGCCTTCGCGGGAGATGGGATCGATCTCCACTTCCCTGGACTCTATCCCGCTTGACACTGTAAATTCATGAGATCCAATCTGAACTTTAAGCTGCACAATTCGTTTCCGTGCTTTATCTTCGGGTTTAATCGCTGCCGCTCTGCCCTACGCATCCTAAACACAAGCGACGCGTAACTTATTGCGAGGTTGACTGCGTTGAATATTTGCGCCAGGGTGCGCACTGACGAGTATTTGTTCCCGAATAAGATACTGCTCCTGCCGGGAGAGATATCGTATGCTCGAGGTGGGCCTATTCTAATCCTTAACCTCAAGCCCGCATCATTCCCTGACGGGTGAGGGAGCGGAAAATACATTGATCGATTGTGTAGGTTCTGAAGTCATATTCGAGAGAAGACAGCTCTTTCGATGGCACTCGACCACAGTTCCCCGAAAAAAACTCTCACGGCGGCAGGTATCTTCTCCAATGTGGGGAAAGCAGCGGCTCGTTCTTCTCTCGACTTCCAGAAGACTTTCTGCAGGACTTCGCTGCCGCAGGGAGCTTGACCGCTGTACTCGGGGATCGTTCGAATTCGCAATCGTATCATGCATGTCGTCCGTTTCGTTTTGATTATAGAGCTTCACACGTGAGTGACTCTTTCGAGCAGACTTAATGACCGTTTCCATATCTTCAGCAAGACTATAAAGATCCGTCTTCTCAATAAGATTGGCTTGGAGCCGCGCTTTCGAAACCCAGAGCCGTGAATCAGTCAGCGAATACGGCAGTGATTGCGAATTTGACAAATCTTTCTCTACCCAAGTGAAAGCACTTCAACTCCGATTTCTTGGGGACTTGATCGCACGCGATTTCTGAGAACGACAGTTGATTGATTCCAATCGTAGCTGCTTCGAGTCAGAGCGCGGGAAATCCCAAAGCAACAACTGAAGCAAGAAGGAGAACCTTAAGCTCTGCTTCTATCGCATGTAAGCTGACCGATCTGCTGGGAACATCGGGAGCCGCCGTCTTTGATTATCGAGAGACATAAGGATGATTCAATCATTCATTGAATCGTGATCATCGATCATACATCAACTTTGGTCGTTTGTCTCGAACGAGTCGGATTCTTCAGTCCAACTCTTGTCGGAAAAATACGGGTCGCAAGGAATTCAGCGAATCCGTCCATCGGAATCATAGTTCTCTTCATTGAAGTCCGGAGAACTGCATGACTCTGCCGAGTTTTGGGGGCTCTTGAGAGTTGAGACAGCATAATGGAAAACCAACGAATCATGGAGCACCGTGAGCTGATTCATATAAGCGCTCCTGAGCGTTGCTTCGCCAGAAAGACGAATTCCCATTTCAGATCGCTTCTCGAAGATTCATTGAAACGGAGGGAACTGTCTCGGAACGCCCGACTTCTGGTGGAGACCCTCGTGCGAACTGCGCCGGCAGGCACCCTGTTTCGGAGTCCAAGAAAGACAGCATGAAGCCGAATCTGGGGAACTCCGACATTATCGGGTATATATTTTTACCGGGGACACACTATTCATGTCTCGAGTCGAGACATGAATGGCTGAGTGAGCATGACCTGGATCCCGCCATTCTGGTCACATTCCCGAGTTCGTGCTGACTGATGTGACTCATTGCTCCGAGATATCGCGAGAAAGAAAGATAGACAAGAGTGCTATTATAGTTTCTTTCGCGCACCCCCTGGTGCCAAAGAGCCCTCGCCATTTTCAGCTATAAGACCTCTGGTCGCTATATAAATTCCGCAAGAGCTATCGTTTCAGTCCGTCAGTTGTGCTGTTGGCGTTCCTTGGTCAGTGGTTGTGTTATCGTACATGCTGTGGATTTATCATATTTAGCGAGTATTCAATCGTACACCATGTATTCTACGGTAAGCTCTGTCGACGTATACCTCCGAGACTTTCGCAAACGTTGGCCGATGATGATTAACAGGCATGTCGAGCGAGTGAACTTGGGACTTCCACTAAAATCTCCTACCCACCGGCTCGATTTTCGCCGAGGCAAGCTCTTCCTGTACGTGGCGTACCCCCCGCGGCTCCGCGCGTCTCTTCCTCTAATTCTGATCCAATCGCTCCCGGATCTCGCGGTCCATTGCTCTTGGAGACGCCGAAATTCTCTTCTCATGGTTGTGCCTCGGTGCGGAAGCTCTTCTCCTTGCCATGCCGATGCATGCCACAAGTGGATACTGCACTGCTTGATCTCCGTCGGTCACTATTGGTTCAAAGCAAGACCACGGTCAATAGTGAAAAACTTAGCGAACGGTTCTCACCCATCACTCAGATGACTGTTACAACTTATCGTTAGTCTCGCAACAATCGTGTTCCGATGGGTAGCTCAATCAAAGAGCAGTGTCTTCACCAGAGCTGCACGCTTGCATAAGTTTGAAGCCACCGAAGCCGACAGAATGTTTTTTTCGACGGACAGCTATTCTAACGAATTATTACAGATCGCTCTTGTCTCGCTCATGGCCTGTGCGGCCCATTGTGGAGATCTCGGCGGCCACGAAATCTTGGCCAGTCACGGAGGCGACTTGGGAGGACACGGTGGGGACTTGGAAGGACATGGAGGCGACTTGGAGGGCCACGGAGGTAACTTGGGTGGTCACGGAGGTGCCTACGAAGAGGTAGGTTCAAGTGCCGAACGAAGGATGCTTGAGTCGAAGATGCCACCGGGGAGAATCACGAATTATCGGAACCATTTCCTCTCAGCAATACGCGCCGCAGCCCTACAAGTTCGGCTACAGAGTCAATGAGGAGTGGGGTCAACAGCACCGGGAAGAACAGGCCGACGGTCACGGGAACGTTGTGGGGAGTTACGGATTTACGGACGCCAATGGGATCTACCGGCAGGTCAGCTCAACGCATCTGCGGACATACGATCGAACTCTGCGATGCTTCCGTATCCGGAAATTCCCTGATCCCCAGGGATCGAATATTCGTGAAAGATGAAGATTTCTCCCGATGTTACAGGTGAACTACGTGGCGGACAAGTTCGGATTCCGCGCTCAAGTCAAAACTAACGAGCCGGGCACAGCTTCCTCGAATCCTGCCGACACTCGCATCGAGAGCTCTGCGCCGATCAATGTACCTCATCAGGGAGTCGGAGGCTACGAAGAGGGACAGCATGGCATCAAAGCTTGAAAGACGACCTTCCTTCTTCCGGCAATAGGTGGAAAATTGATCGAGTGCATCGCGGTAGATTATACAAGGGTTAACATGCGAAACTGAAATGAAGGCGAGAATCTCAAGACTTAGGTACGTTTGACTGTTGTTGACTCAGCGAGCAATATTTAGTGTGTCCTTAGAATGTCTGTACCTCATGCCCCCGGTCTATCTCATTGTGAAACGCTGCAAACACGTAATAATAAATAGTCCGAATCGACTCTGATATCTCTCAGCGCTCCTTTGGCGAAGCAAGCCAATTCGGCGCAGCGTCAATTCGGCGATGAGTGAGGTCGGCAAGGACCTACAGATTCGATTTGTCCGTTTTTCTATCGAACCCTCTCTCATCCCAATATGTTTAGGTTCAACAAAGCGCCGGAGCTCACGCCGACACGGAGCGAGCATGCTGGATCTACGAGATGCTTGAGACTGCAAACATATATTAAGCATAGGTGCATCGGAATTGGTTATATTTTTCCAGCAAGCGAACTCTTGGACGAGGATTGACCCCGCTATGAATGTCCGAGAGAGAGGAGAGAGATGGGAGAGAGATCTCGGATATATCGGGATGGTGTTTGTACACTCGAACCCGCTTATGAGAAATGTGCTCATAAGAGAAAACCGGATATGAGAGACCGATCCCGATTCCTCGATTCGGGCTCCGTAGGGTTTCATGGTAAAAACCTGGCCTGTAAGAGACTCGGATATAAGAGAAAAGTGGATGGGAACTTCGTACGCATATAAGAGAGATCCGTCTCAGGCAGAATTTCGGTTCGCTCATTCTTGTATCGGAGAATGGTCACTAGAAGAAAATGAGAGGCTCCTTTGTGAAGATATCCCCATACTTTGTTGGAGATCGTCAGATAAAACAACTATGATACGGAATCGGATGCATGTTTTCGATGAAGTTGCCTGATAAATCAGAGTTAGCGCTTGAAATGATCGTCTCGTCACACAAAGGCGATAAAGGCGTCCGAGTTTTGCGAGAACCAATTAGTGTGGGCCGTCAGCGATTGGAAATCAATTTCAAATGATCTACCGTAAATATTCTCATAGACGGGCATGCCCGTTTGTTTTTCGATCCACTTGAAGGTGCCCGTTTATTAGAGACTGCCCGCCTATTTTCTGTATCTCCCAGAAGATGCCCGTTTGTTGGAGACTGGCCGTCTAATAGAGACTGCCCGTCTCTCAGAGACCGCACGTTTATTAGAGACTGCCCGTCGATATTGTTAGATTCAAAAAGGAAGTAATAATTGTCTATTTCTCGAATACGAATCGGATATAGGCTACATCAAAGCCAGATTTCCTTCCTTTTCATGGCGGGTATATCTTGCGCAGATGCCGAGAGCGGTCGACGCTCACCGTGGTGACGACGGGGGAGAGCATGTTTTCGAGAAAGGAAGTCCCGCATCGGAGCCATATTTCGCGGTCTACACGACTTCACCTTGGTGCTGAATGCTGCATATTATATCATTCAAGACGCTGGCTTAGTGATGCAAAATTCATTCTTCCATGTCGTGATTCCGAAGACATTCGATTTGCGAAGATGCTGGAAACGGATCGTTCATTACACTCTGAGCCAGACCCGTCAATCGGGAATTGCCTGATTATTGGAGACTGCCCGGCTATTAGAGACTGCCCGACTATTGGAGCCTGCCCGTCTATTGGAAAGTGCCCGTATATTAGAATATTCACGGTATATATGTAAGTTTGAAAGTTCGAGAGAGAGCGGTCCATGGACCCTCGCCTCCCCTGGGTACGCTACTGGCCAGGACATGCTGGCACATGAGGGTCACACTTACACCAAGGAAGAGAGGAGTAAGGATGGACTCCTTCTATTCTGGCGGTGTCGTTACCGAGGCGGAGCATCGAAGTGCAGAGGTGAGCTCCTACGCACCTTACTTGCTATCGACGCGGCCATCGGCTGTCTTTGTAGATACATAGAGATCCCGACTGAATCCTCCGAATTCATTTCAGCGCGGCCTCTCTCCAAACCCAAGAAGTGCCGAGAGTTCTGGGCAAACATGTGGACGCTCCTGATCCCGTTGGTGTTCAAGTTCCTCAACAAGAAGAGTGCTCTCAAACGGCGAGCGGTGAAGACCCGCGAGTTGCCGTCTCAACTGATCATTCAAATGAGAGACAGTGCTTCTGCTCCGACACAAGGACGCCTCGACAGCCTTGAAGTATCAGCGAGAGTTATCCGAAGAGCCCGTCAACGCGTTGGAGCACCGAGCTCAATCTTCCAGTCAAGAGCAGCCATCGTGATCCCCGAAGAGCTCCAACTCTATGAGACCGCACCAGGGAACGTCGAACGCTTTCTGCTCGGTGACACAGGTGTGGTATGAAACAAACAGGGGTAGTGTTAAACAAATATTTTTGGGAGGGGCATTTGCCCCTAATGCCCCCCCCCCTGAATACGCGCCTGATCCTCATCTTTGGACGCGGAGCCTCCGGTGATTGGATGCATCTAGTAAGCCGAGTCTACGTTGATGGTCCCTTCAGCATTTCACCGAAGCTGTTCTCGCAACTCTTCGTCATTCTCTCTTTTACCCGACAACTCAGAGGTCGTATGCGAGGATGATTGGATTTCTCCAGGACGTTTGGCCAGATCTCGACAGGCTCCGAGTACACAATGGCGACGTTAGGCGCCGCGCTTCTCTCTTCCCCATCGAGATAAGGACCGCTTACCAGCGCACGCTCAACGGCGAGGTGCGAACGAATAATTACGCTGAAGCCTCTCATCGGCGCCTCCAGGGGAATTCGCGGTAGATCATCCGGCGCTCTTCGACTTCATTGGAGGTCCTCGCGACGCGAAGCACAAAGGGGATGCGCAACTCGAAAGATTCATCACGGGGAATGAGACAGAGTCCAAAAGGAACAAGTACATAGTTAGCGAGGAAAAAATCCTCTACATCTTGAACTCAGTCGTAGCCCGCGCTTTGGAAGTCTTGCGAGGTATCGCTCATAGGTACGACATATGGAACAAAGGTAAATATCTGGAGACCCGTTTGCAATGAGAGATATGTGAATAAAATGATGCTGGAGATCCACCCGAGTGCACGAGCATTCACTCTGAACACTGAAGCAGGCTCGACGTAGCGCAAGGAAGAAGCCGCGTGACCCCAGTCCTCTGAAACAGTACTAAACGTACAAATGAAGTTTCAAGGCTTTCACCGACCTGACACGGCGCACAGTGCTCAAAAATCAATTCCTAGGGGGACAAAATTATTTCGATGATTTTTTCGATAGAGTTCCGTTCCCCGAATGAGGCGTGAGACTCGGGAAAAGATTCCGGCTTCCAGCTCGCCCGCGGAGACGATATTTGAGGTCTTGAGGACGTTTTTCATTGAAATATCCCACCAACTTTATGCATGCAGATTTGAGAGAGACGAATGCTCCACGACTTGTTTCCTGCTCGACTTCCAACTTCCTACAGGAGTGGAGACCGCGCCAGCTTGCCCGTGAGTCAGACTCGGAACATCGTCTGCTGGCGCTCAAGAGATCGCTTCTCGGCGGTAATACTGGAAACGAGCTGTTGGATGTCGGATCGCCGAGATGACTCGCTTCGCCCCCGAATCGCGAGCACCGATCGGGATCCATATCCATGCTATTGTAAAAGAGGGAATCTCTCTCCACAATCGAAGCGGATCAAAGCCTGTAGCGAATTCTGCATCCCGGTAGCTCCGCCTATGGTCACCCACGAGCAGTAAAAGGGAGGAAAAAATATTCTAAGACAGCCCAGGCCATCTCGTCTGAAGCATGCCCGGCTATACTTCGATGTCTCCGATGAAGACCTAAAATCAGCGAAAATTAGACTTTTTTTTTTAAAGCCCTTAGCGCAAAAATGCGCAGAAATCGGAGATGTGCTTTGAAAAGCGGAAGGCTTGAGGAGCTTTAAAAAAAAAAATCCTGGGGCAAGCCGGGGCAAAGGTCCTAAATGAGCAATTTAGGTTTTCGCCTATTGTCGGCCACGAAAGAATTTTCCCTCGGTCGTATCGATACAAATCGCAACTCTTCGGGTCGGTGCGTCCTTGTGGGGGGTCATCCGTCCCTAGTTTTCATCGTATCGGGTAGTCTGAACCATTCAAGTTTGAGATATGGGCGAAAAACGACCGAATAATTTAGTCCACCTAGAAATCGATTTTTGACCACCGTGCGGCGCCGAATTGACGCTGCGCCGAGTCGACCCCGGCGCCAGAGTGACCCCGGCGCCAAATTGAAGGGTACCCCTCCTATGGATCTAGGGACGCTCCGGAAGTGTTTAAATGCGCAGAACCATAGAGCGGGAAGAAAAACAGTCGGGACAGGGATGGACACCATGATGAACAGTATGCGGAAAGGCTTAAGGCGCGACGGATCGATCCCGGTTGCGAGAAAAGACTGGCGAACCATCTCGCTTTCGGGGAAAGACTGGCGAGCCATCTCGCTTGCAGGAAATGAGTCGCGAACCATCTCGCTTGAGGGAAAAGACTGGCGACCCATCTCGCTTGCAAGGAAAGGGTCGCGTCGCGAACTGTCCCGGAGTCACCCACCTTACTCCAAACTCTGTGCAGCAATCGCGAACCGGAGTTGCGGGAAGACTAGAATAGAAAAAAATATCTTGCCCGGCCGGATAAGGCCCGTTGTTCCACCCATCGTGGCTTGAGGTTTATTTGAGTGCTCTTCCATGCTGATCATGTGCTCGAGACGGGGCTCAGCTCAGCGGATTTTTCTCGAAACAGTATAATCTGTATATACGACGTTGCAATCATATCTGAGATTTGGAACTTCTTTGGTGAGACTTCGAGCACTTTTCCCGTGGAAATCTGCTCTCAGAGCCCCTCCTTCCCCCTAAAGACTTTGGGAAGAGCCTGCCAGCATTTATAGTAATCTCGATCCAGACGATTGCATCCATCCTCGGCCCATTGAGTGATTGCCAATGACAAGGAAGATTCGAACATGAATGCCTTCGAAGGAGGAATGCGATTAGCGACCCAGCATGTGAGACGAGTCTGTCTACCTGCATCGCTCAACAAAATTTCGGTCAGCTCGAACGAGAGCGGATCTCTAGCCTCAATCTCACCATCGAGTTGTCCGCCACACGGCTCGGCTTCAGTGCAGCTTCGGTGGCCTGCTTGAAGCAATTAGCGTCGGGTCCGTGAGGAGTCATTATCGAGTGAAGAGTCGCTCCACCAGGTCCGAAACCTTCCTCCTTGGCCTCATATGCTCCACTGATCAGTCCCATGAATTCGCTCATGCAATTTCCTGTGGCGAATGAAGATAACGACGATGAAGTTCCATGACAGCGGGCATTTTCTCTCACCCGGAGCTATGCTCTTCCGATTCGAGGTAGATTCCAGCCCCCTCAAACTCACTATGATAGTACGGTGGCCGGAAAGTATTCTCTGCCACCGACCAACGAGGCGGGAATATCACGAAATCCGCAATCGCCACACCTGGCTTTGTTGATGGGCAAGTCAGAACGGTGAATATCGAGGGATCCTGGAAGCAGCATCTCATCGGAGAACTCCTCAATATATGTACTACGAACTGTCCATGGACGACCAGGAGCGGGGCAGTTCCTTTCGCTTACACAGTGGTCCACAGAGACGGTGTTGATGGCGACAAATTTGGTCAAATCGTATTTATACGGCACATAGTTGCCGTGCCAGGCAACCACATCGAAGGGCGAATGACCCTGGACCGTGGAGAAAAGTTGCCCTTGGTACTTGTTGATAACGGTGTACTCGGCATCGACGTCTTCGAACCTGAATTCGACGTTCCAAGATTACTATTTTGACGTGAGGAGGGCGCCCATTCATGATTTTTGGATTCGGATTACCAAGCAACAGGATGGAGGAAATCCCTCGGATTTGCCAAGCCGTTTGCGCCGATCGGACCGAGATTTGGCAACACAAAATGGCTGTCGAATACTTCAAGTATGTATCCCCGGGTGGGTCCTTCCACATCTACTTTGAATCGCATCCCTTGCTGAATTATTGAAACAGCATGCATTAATTCGAACATACGATCGACCTCTGAGCCGTGATCCATGCAGAATCCGGCCTACCTGTATCACGCAGATCTCATTGGGCTTGACATGCATCTTGCCGAATTCGGTGGTCACATCGAGAGCTCCTTGCTGGGGTACGATCAGGAGGTCGCCATCGGCATTCTGCAACGCTCGACGGTTCATAGACGAGTTGCAGACGAAGATATGAATTGCGAGCCCGTGCCGAGTGAGTGCGTCGCCGGCGCCGCAAATAGTGCGTAGGCCCTGGAATGCGAGAAAGACGCGTCGAACTTGACGTGTTCATCCTACTCCAGTTATGAATGGAGGTTCCCAATTTTTTCCCCAACTTGACCGCGTCGTGCTTCGCAGACCGAATTACAAAAGCTGGAGGCGAGGTAATTACATCAACAAAGTCAGCTTCATTCGACTCCGGTATATCGAATGGGAGCCATCTCGTCTGATTAGGATTCGGGAACTGCTTCTTCCAGTCGTCGCTGAGTTTATTCGTCGATAAGAATCGCTCGAAGGGTGTGTGGAGCACGGCCGGGCGAATTCGGTACAACCATCTGGAAAGATAAATCGATTGAACTCCTTGGAAGATATCTCTTTGGAAGAACTCTTTGAAAGTTGAGGCCGATTTCGCCGTATCGGGAAGATCGGACAATTTTCTTACGTTCTCCTGTTCGTTTCTCGTGGAGACGTGAATGAGCTCCCCGACAATTGCTCTGCATACAGTCCGTATGGACATTTTTGAGGATTATTCTGGTTTTCCGGCAAGGCCCCTGGGCATCTCGGATCCTCTGTTGCGAATTCGTTCCCGAATCCACACTGGTACTGTAAACATTTTGATGGATGCTTGAAATAGATTCTAACACCGGAGAGAGCAAGATTCTCGCTCCCGCAGGTATAGCGAACCGATGTATCGTCTCTGCAGCCGTCGTTCTTTTCTCCCCTCCTGACTGCAGACTCCGTGGAGATCTGCTGAGAGCGCATGGGCGACCGCATGGAACACAATGTGCAAAAACATCCCCTACTGATTCAGTCGTCTAGGAACAATTCGCAGATCCGGCACGCTGATGAGAAACAGGCTCGGCAGCCTTGCACGTCTCTTAAGAGCTCATATCGAGACTGAAAGTCGGAACTCCGCAGCCGGAATTTCCTATGGGAGACCATCCTTGGAATCGTTGCGTAACGATAGAGGCTAGCCGCTCATCGGATATTTCTCACATCGCTCTCATCACTTCCTGTGCATTGGGCGTGTATTCTGTGTTCTGCATGGAAAGAAAGCGAGTCGATCGCTCCATTGCACTCCAAGGCTTTCGAATCGTGCCCCAAATAGGCGTAGGGATCAGTCTGCGATTAAGCGCGCAAACATCAGCCAATATCTGCGATCCCAACTGCATTCGGATGAGTCGACGGAGATCTGTAGAGCTAGCTCCCAACGCGTTTATCCTACCGTAGCGAGATGACTATTCTCAGGTGGATGAGGAAATTCAAAGAGTGTTGGAGGAATGGGCGAGTATTTTTTGCGGCGTGTCGGCCACGAGGGAGTTGTGATGAGAAATTACTAATCACAATGAGCTTCGCTGTTCCATATTGGAGCCAACTCCGCCAACGAGCCGTGAATACTGAAAAGGGTCCTCCCTCTGTTCGATTGGAGGCGCTTTGATTCTGATCGCAGCTCCATCGAGGGAAGACAGCTGGCCCGTCCGAGAACTGAGTTGTCTGCCCATAGCGCAACGACTACTCACCTTCAATGTGTCCATGACAGACGTAGCTCGACGAGTGACACAACTTCCAGACGATTGCGAGATGGGAATCTAGAAGATGGTGATAGGAAGAGATAGGAGGGGCTAATGAAGACAAAACTCTCACCGCGGATAGAGCGTCCATTGTTGATAGAATCGAGGGGAAAGAAAGGTGCAATATTCCCCGAAATGATCTCATGGTCCCCTCTAAGCTAAGACCGCGTATAATTAGGTCTGTTGAAGCCAGGTCTGTTGGGAATGTCGATTATCTACCACGTCTTCTCCATCGATGTCTGGGGAGCAAGTGTCAATAAGGGAACTATACTCTGTGCTGATGATCCGAGCATACGAGATAATCATGCCGAAAAATATCATCGCCCCGATCTGTTCTGCAATGCTCCGATTCCCCCCTCGATATTCCCCGAAAAAACGTACACGAGTACCACCCGCGAAAAGCTCCTGCGCGGTAGGCAAAGGTTCGTACGCGTCGCGGTCCGTGTTCCCAGGATGGATCCTATTGTATGCATGGGCTTGGCGCACAAAGAGGTCTCTTACGTCAGTTTTCCTGCGGAGCCGCTTCAGCAGCAAATCGAATTTGCTGCGTTGCAATCCGATCCGGAAGCTCCCCCCAATCATCGCGGTCCGCTGGAGAAGGGAACTATTGATCCGAAAATATTGCTTGGCTTGAGTCTCGAAGCTTGGCACATATTCCAGGCAAGCAACTTTCCTTGATAATATTCGGCAGAATCTTCACGGAATCTTGATGATGTCAAGCCATCAGTCATATCAAGCATTTTGAAATTCATCGCTCAACTGTTGCGTGCTCGAAGAGAGGTCGTCTGACATTGCCGGGTCTTCCTCGAGTCTTCGAGACCAGCATGCTCCCCGGAATGATGGCTCCAAGAAAGGAGCGCGTCGCGGATGGCCTAGTCGCTCGCAAACACCCCTGGATCAGGCGTCTTTCGATGACGAGTCTCATGAGTTGTACCGACTCCAGGGGTAAGTTCCTAGGGGAGCGCGCATCTTCCATAGAGCTCAGAGCAGAGAATACGAGCTGGCGCATTCTGACAAGTAAACGATTTCTATTGTCGATCCGGGTTCAGGGAGTCGGGGAAAGTTAGGAGAGGGGGTGGGGGAGAAATTGCTCGGAAGGCCTTGGATAGGGAAATCAGAGAAAAATCTGGAATATTAGCGTCAGTCAGCGAGTGATTGCGAATGATGGCGAGTCGAGTTCTTGAGCATTCAAGACTAATCGAGCATCTTCCCATACTCTGTCGAGCAGGGGCGACCAATCGTGCCTCCGATCCGGGCCATGTACGTCTCACCAACGTTCACCTCCATGGATGCGGGTGACACATTCGTGATTGGGCGAAGTTGCTCGCCGCGTAAGCAAACTGTTTCATTTTCATTCATTTCATTCATTCGCTTTATTATCAAGTCGTAATGATGATAACAAGGGTGTATAAAGGGAAGGGTTACCAGAGACTCTCCAAGAAAATAGTTTGTTGATGGTCTCGGTCCTAGCAACACACTTCGGTTGAAGCTTCACCCCAGAGCGGAGGCGATTCGTCGAGAAGTTGAAAAAGTGATTTAGGGCACCACCAGAGATCAGGCGCCTGAGAGCGCGGGCGTCAGCCGCGGTGTGGAGTTCAGAGAGTGAGGGGACGCTGATGGCGGAACGATCAACGCCGCAGCGGTCGGCGACGCGTCTAACGAATCTCCGACGGATAGCCTCGAGTAGTTTCACATCACCGACGAGGCAGGGAGACCAGACGGGGGCGCAGTACAAGAGCAACGGAACGACAAGTGATCTGTAGAGGTTTTCGTAGTACTCGGGGCGCCGAATGGAGAAACAACGGAGACTGAGATTACAGATCGAAGATGCCGATGCAGCAGTACGGGCGATATGGCTCCTGAACCTCAGATCCGGAGAGACGAGGACTCCCAGGTCCCTCATAGAGTCCACCATAGGAATCATGGTCGATCCGAGAGAGTAGGCGTGAAGGTCGGGTCTCAACTTGAGAAGTGCACACTTCGGGAGAGACAGCTCGATGCCATTCTCAGTGGACCATCTCAGAACACCATCAATCGCCAACTGAAGCAGACGAGGACCCTCCGGGGAGCCATCAATCTCAGCATGGATCTTGACATCGTCCGCGTAGAGCTTGTAGAAAATGCCGGGCGGGAGGTATGTTCCGATATCTAGGACATACACCGACCAGAGAAGTGGGCCCAATATGGATCCTTGTGGTACGCCACAGGGACTGGGGGCGGGGGGGAGAAGGAATTTTTGACTTTGACAATGAATTGTCTGTCAGAGAGGTAGGCACGGATCCAGTCCACGATGGATTGACGAACACCCAGGGCAGAGAGTTTGGAGAGGAGACGACCGTGATGCACCCGATCGAAGGCCTTAGTAAAGTCGAAGTAAACGCAGTGAACATTGCGTCCTGTCGAGAGAGCCACGCCCCAGCTCTGGATGACGTCCAGTAGCTGCGTCTCCGTGGAGCGTCCCCTGCAGAATCCATGCTGATTTTGATCCAAGAGGTTATTCGACGACAAGTACTGGGAGAGGTGATTCGCGACAATTCTCTCCATCACAAGGCAAGAGACCGAACCTTGAGCGATTGGCCGGAAATTTGCGGGGAGTGAACGGTCACCTTTCTTGAAGATAGGTGTGACTATTGATTGTCTGAAACATGATGGCACAGCGGATTCGGCAAGTGATCGTGTGAAGATGATAGAGAGTGGAAGAGCAAGTACCTCAGACAACTCTCGGAAGAGAATCGGAGGCAGTAAATCTGGCGTGACAGAGGTCTTGCTCTTCAAGTGACTGAGAGCGGAGGCAACAGTCTCAACATCGAAAATGAGAGGAGCGCAGGTGACTGGGGGAGAGCCACGGGAGACCGGGGAGACGACGGGGGGTCTGAAGGCCTCGGCGAAGCAATCTCGAAAGACGATTGACTGTTGATAGGGGTCAGTGATGACATCGGAGTGGATGCGAAGAGACGAGATGACGTCCCTCGACCTGAGCCGTCCATTGACGTACGAGTAGAAGTCCCTTGAGTTCCGGATGGAAAGCCGGGACTCCGCAAGAATACGATCACGTCGAATAGCTCTTGACAGTTTAGCTCTGAGCCTGCTCAGGGCGTCGGGATCGGACGAGGAGGAAATGAGTGAGTGCAGGCGTCGAATATGCCAATCGAGTCTAGGAGCTCGGGCCGGGAAGCCGACACGGAGCGGCACGTGAGTTTCGATCTGTCTGGCAAGTAGGTCAGACAGCAACCGCTGCATATCCTCAACACAGTCGCAGCTACGGAAGACATCGAACCAGTTTAGCTCGGAGAGGGACTCAGCGATGAGGTCATAACGACCCTTCCGGAAGTCGGGGAGAGGCGCCGCAGTGACATGAGAGGCACAGAGGTCGACGAGGAAGGAGATTGCGAGATGATCGCTCCTGATAGGGGCTGGAAGGATCTGAACGCCAACAACGATGTCGGGGTGATTCGTAAGTAGGAGATCAAGAAGATTTCCAGATGCCGGTCGAGTCGGGAGATCAACAAGTTGGTGGAGGCCATTGAGGATGCAGAAGTCGAGAAAAATCTGATCCCTATTTGAGGAACCCGGGTGTTGAAGGTTTTTCCAATCGATGCGGGGGAGGTTGAAGTCTCCAACGATGATGCTTGGCCACTCGACGATCAGCAGTTTCTCGAGCGAGGCGCAGAGCATCGAGACCCCGTCGCGAAGTTCCACGGATGATCCGGATGGGGTCGAGTAGGCACAAATGATGCGGAGAGGGGAATCGTCGAGGAACACGTCAACCGCCAGAACTTCGGAGGAGGACGAGATGCCGACGATTTTGCAGGCGAGAGAGATGCGGAGTAGGATACAAACACCACCTCCGGTGGAGTGTGTCCTGTCACGGCGAAAGACAGTGTAGTTTCCATTTAAGGAGAGCTCCGCGGAGGATATATCGGAGTGTGCGAAGGTTTCACAGATACAGATGATGTCTGGAGAGTCAAGAGAGGTGTAGACACGGAGCTCATCGAGGGCGCCGGACTTGGTGAGATTGGCGGCATTGAAGAAAAGACATCTGGGGGAAGGGGAGGACGAACGGGTGTCGGCGGGATTGTTGGTCGATGGAGGTGACGGACGGCGGCATGGTAGTCAATCATCAGCACCAGCGCGGCTCGACGAGACCGAATCCGCAGCAAGCAAAGACTCCTCAAGTCTACTCTGATCCAACGAGTGGGAGAAGAGCTTAAAGATCATTCCCCTTGCCCAAACAGAGGGGGAAAGGAGAAGAGGAGATTCCGACTTGGGGACGGTTATCACAAAGGAGGCGTATGTCTGTTTGTCAGATTTAGCCCTGAATTTACCGACCGAGATGATAGAAGATGAGATGGAAATGCAGTATTCCAACATCTGCCTGGCAGAGACCGCAGGGTCGACAGCAGACACGAAAACAATATGATTCTGAGTCTGTAGAGTCGGCGGGGTTGGCCTGCGAGACCGAGAGGATGCTGCAAAAGGTATATCACACTCGCCAGAGCCGGTGGAGATGGGTTTCCACTCGCGAGCAGACGATGATGTGGTATCTCGAGTCGAAGGGATGACGAGGTTGGTTCCAGGGGACTTGGAGCGATGGGGCTCCGAGCGGGCCGTAGAGAGTGGAGGTGGAGAAGACGGGTTGGCCGAGATAGTTCGAGGGATGGCAACACAGGGCTTAGTGAGTCGTCTCGAGGGGTGCCTGACAGTCCGGCGAGCCGCGCGATTCGTCCCAGCCGCAGGAGCCGAGGAATCCGAACCCGGAGCAGGCTCTGAGGAATCACATCCCGAAGGCGCAGAGCCGTCAGGGGGGCCGAGGCACCATCAGTGCCACCATGAACATACGAAGAACCACAGCCAGAAGATAAAACGAGAAGGGACTCGACCTTATTCAGCAGCACCCTCAGCGATAACCGGATGCCCGTCAGCTCAGCTAGATAGGCAGGCGGGATACCTGACCGGGAGCTCTGAAGGGACTCAGAGTGATGTGTGCGCGGAGACTCAGGTGTTCATGAATGTTACGGAGCGACTTTCGATGCTGAGATATCCTTATATTTCCCACCGCATACGGAAGTAGCTGTTTTTATCATCCCCTCGAAGTGAATGATGAGGAACGTCGTACCACTTTTCTAAAATTCGTTTCGAGGCGGCTCGAGTGTACGGAGCTTTCACGGTATCCGCTAACCTCAAGCTGACAGTCGCTGACACTCCACGTTCTTATAAAGAAGCCAGGGCCTCTCGCGGAATGTACTCGAAACTCGAATCCGTAAACTCGGATCGACAAAGGTGAATGTTCGATTGTCGGTCGATGTCTGGAACATAACATGGTTTCTTCATTTCCGAACCGCGATCTCATCCTATTTGAAGCTACTGCGATTTCTGCTCTCGAGTCGATCCGCCATCCGCCTCTGCACGATGCTGAGTGCTCGTCTTGCGTCCGCTGCTTCCTGCTCCTGTAGGATAAGGAAGAGTCGCCGTGCAATAATGGGGTTTAAGAAATTGCGGAAATCCGCCAGTTTGAGCCAGAAAGTCCGGGGCTCAAAATCGTAGATTGAATGGATCGGATCATTCTCCCTTTTTTGTAAATGCATGAAATCGCGGGCGCTCATTATTTCATCATGATATTCCGAACTAAACGCGTCCATCTCCATGGGCTTCACAGCTACTGCACGATTAATGAGCAGAAATATTGATTCGATTCAATTCTCCCGTGAATATTCCGTTTGAGCGCATCTCTCGAACATCATCTTCGTTCAATTAGGAGATCTCTCGAACGAGCTCGGACGCTCACCCTCCGTTGAGTGGAGCCCACTGCGCCAACGAATTTCCGAGAATGAGACACACAATGCTACACCGGCGCCGTCGACAAAGAAAAACCTCATGCTTGAGGGAATCGGTCTTTGAGTTCCCGGAAGAGTGAGAGAGGTCAACAAGAAGCCGGACCTACTGAAATCGCTACCAAAGCTGGGCCGCTTCTGTCGCCAGGCTCCTCCCGGATCTCGAATCTGGATCGAAATGCTCTCGAAGCCGAAAATCCTCCTCTCCATCAGAGTCGTCTGCGCTGGCGGTAGAGAACCTCGCATCTCTCTCAGATCCCGCTTCCCGTCAATCAGAGCTGGTAGGTTCTCCCTTGCTCACGAATATTGAAGAGCGTAGATTAGACTTTTTCTACTTCTTCACGAATTTTACCCGATGCCATGAATGAAGCGGGCAACGGCATTCCTCCATCGGGAATAGCTTCGTTCGTAGAAGTTGCGTAGGTTGGATGAAATTATGTACTTCCTCTCGGCGGAGCTCTGAAGATCTGTTGTTCCGTAGTTTCAGCGATCATCGACGTGACAATCGATACCTTCGCAAGACCCGACGACACTAGGGGGAAAACGACGATCGAAAGGTGAGAAGCGTGAAGTAGTTTGCTACGTCGGACCCAAGGAGTCGCGAGATCGAGTGCCGCTCACTGAGAAACAAGTTGACCCATGTCCGACCCGAGCGCTCCGAATGCGCTCGAGGTGGGCAGAACTCGGAAGCCTCGAATTTCTAATTCAGCCTTCCGACGCATTCATCTCATGATAAGGTACTGGCATCGATATCTATTGATGGAGTTCTGTAACTGACAAGTTACTCTCCTATTATTCAGGCAGAATGGACAAACATCCCGAAGCCGAGAAGATCGCGGAGAAGAAGAATGTCGAACCGGCACCACAGGGAGTTCCACGAGATCCTCCCAATCTGGGAAATCTGGCTTTCGCCAACGAGGCATTCTTCCCAATGTCTCCATTCGACGCTGAAGCCGCCTTCGGTGGGATCACCACCGACTTCAGGGTGTTCAGAGCTCTCCGTGGTCTCCCGGCGCGGAGGGATCTCATGGCGGAGAGAATGGGCCGCACGTTGACTCCGGAGGAGGAAGAAGGTCTCTTCCGAGATATCTTCGGTCTAGTCAGCTTTCCAATCGCAATGCTCCAACGCCCAGAATGAGGATCTGGGCAGCCGAGCTTGACCATGTACATATGTATAAAGATGTGTGGTAATTTATTCATAGATTTCAAGTTTTTGTAATCATGCGAATATAATCATCGAACGACCATGAAGTTTCTAATCCGTCGGAGGTATCGGCCATTCCGAGCGGATGAGGCTCCGAGGGTATCTCTGAAAACCTTTGGTGCCTCCCCGACTCCATGATTCTCCCATCGGGGAGAGCAATTCAGGGCAGTGGCGTACTCAGATTTCTCTTGGGGGGGCTAGATCGGGTCCCCGCATGGGGCTGAAATCCAGTGTGGCGATTCGCTCCTGTACTACAGCATTACGAATGACCATCGGGGAGGGGGCTATAGCCTTTTTAGCCCCCCATGCCCCTGATTACGGGACATGGGCTCCTTACAACGGAGAGGTTGCGTTGAGCAGCATATGATGAACGATTCAGTTTGAAAGCAATCCACGCTATCTACAATGATTCCTCTTGATGGTATCAGATGATCATTGGTTCCGATCGGCGCCGACGGTGCTGCCCACGTAGATCCACCTCACGTTGAGCGCGTCCCGCATCGGACCAAACTTTGACCACGGTCAAGCGGTCCTTCATGTAACATTTTTGGGGCTACAGACAGATACACATACTACACATGACATATGATGGTTAGGAACAAGCTCGAGGAACGGTTCAATCTCCGAGGCTCTGGCTCCACTCACGCATCAGCCATGAATTCCTCTCGATAGCTGCCTATTGTCCGTCACAAAAGCTTCTTGAGAGCTTGCACGCGATCGGCGGCCGGAACAACGCGTAATCGTATGTGGATCCTTTCAATTTTCGATTCCAAATCGGACACACTCCGCTGGAAAGACGAATGCACGGCCATGCCGAAGCTGCATACTCGTCGTATTCGCGCGTAGGCTAAACGCCAGGTGATTTCCTAACATCCGGCTTGGAGAAGCACGATATGGTGGATGTCGCCGGCAGGGAAATGTTCCACCTGTGACTCGAAGGCCGGCCCCGGGAGAAGGGTGACATACATACTCATACTTCCTGGACCTAATCGAGGGTACACGGAACGCTTTCCCTGGACTGCGCGATCCGACGCGACGCCGACGGTCGAACAATACCGTCGGATTCCGGACGATCGACACCTAGATTTTCATCGCGGATCCTTCCTGAGCTTCACTCATCGTGCGGGAAACTATAATGATTGTCGCAGACCCTCGAGTGTCAAAGCTGCAACATTCCCTTCGTTCTCGAGCTCACCCTCGGATGTTCGTCTCTCAGACCATTCTCTCGACCCAGCACCAGCGAATGCTGAACTCTAATTGACCATGTCATGGACAAGCGATCCTGAGGGAGTGAGACCGCATGTCGCTCTCAGATTTACCACGTGCTCGATTCATCCGGATTGCCCTCTCCCGGAGAGGGAGTGGGAAGCATGATTGTGCCTATCTGTGGAGTACTGTAGAACATGATAATCATCGCCAGAATTAAATTGAGAGGTACGAGGTAAATACAGTAAAGAGCGATCTCGCTTCAATCTCGCGATGTACGATACGTCTTGTTCGCAGCGGTTCCTCTGCAAGGGTATGCCATTCCGGTGAAGATGACCTTCATGGTACTTTGAATGCGGTGAATAGTTGCCCCCTGATGCTGAACTTTATAATTATTTCCCTATTCGATATCCTTCCTAGGCTGTGGTGGAACGTGATTCGGGCCCCTCTCCGTTCTTCAGCTGCCATCTCTACCCTTTCTCCGCCGCGACGATTCGTGGGGGCGATGCTTCCTCTAGCCGGGAAATCATATTCCCTTATCGATTCGGATCTTCTGGATCGATCAGTAGGTCCAGGTGTGAAAAGTTGAACCTTCGGAATCCCCGAACGAGCTCCGTCCCCACTATTCCCAATCTCACAATATCAACGAGGGCGCAAAGGGAGTGTTGCGCACGAAACAAGTGTTCTCGAGATCCCCATTCACGCTTCCCACTGGAATTTTCTCGAAAACAGTCGCTCGCTGAACGATCGACCCGCTTCAGTAGCTGGATCTCAGAGAACGGCTCGGTGTAGATGATTTTCCATTGAATTATTCTTCGCGTTGTTGGAGACGGAAAAAAGGTGAGTGAATCTCCATGAGGGATTTGAGAAACATGGGCGGTGGGCGGATGCGTCGGGCCTCACGACGCCTTCCGTGTTCTTCCTTGCTATCGATACCAGCGGGAACCAGTTTCAGATGAGCGTATGCCACTCGAGCGAAATAGACGCAAGTCGATCGACATGTAATTTCGAGCTCGGCTGCGGGTGCAGTCTCGAAAGTTAGATACTTCGACCCTTCCAGAGATATCGATCCAGGGCTTGGGTTCCCGGCTAAGGAGCCTGTTCTGATAAGAGATGAATGATCGGATATTCGGTGTTTTGTTCTAAACCATGGTGGGGATAGGTCACGGAAAGTGCTTGTCGAAATTCGTCCCGCAAGCCGATCACAGATTTATCTGAGGACTTTTGCAGAGGTTCGAGGATCGCGGAGATCATTCTCACTGCAATCAAAGCATGCGATGGCTGGTGTAGAAGGAGGAAGGAAATCAAGATGAGACTCTCCTCAATTATTGTGATTTTCCTTTCCATTAGTGAGGCTTGCAGATAGAGACCGTCTGTGCTGTTGCCTCGGAGAGAATTTATTCCCCGCGCTCAATTCCCGGTCCGATGTCGCGATCCGGAACGATCTCGGCTGAGGCAGCCGATCTTCGACCCGGAGCGAGAACTCAACCGCCGGGTCAGAGAAATGAAAAATCCGCGAATAGTCTCGATTTCGGAGCTAATCAATATTTTTATGATTCACCTTTTGGTCCCAGAAATCTGGCATTGACGTCCAACCAGGAGGCTTCTCGCGTATATGAGGAGACACCATTCTCTCCAGAAGAATTGAGCGTCTGCCAGGCACCTCCATTTGTTGCCATCGTATGTTGCACGTAATCTATTATCGAGGTAGTACGTGTAAGCGCCGGATAATCTCAGATACACTAGACATTGTCATTCGATTTCATCTATAGAGCTCTCGACGCTCTGAAGACTTTATTTGGCGGATCATGCGAAATCTTCAAAATTTTCCCGCGAAATATCGAGAGAAATCTCCACAAGAGCCTGGAGGAACTGCGTGGAACGTTGACGCTTTCGGAAGCGCAAACTGCGGAGTCAGGATGAGGAACGATTGGGATTTCCTCCGCAGAAGTGTGAAATCGAAAATCGGGATGGATCGAAAGCATATACTCCAGGAAAGCAGCTCCCGACTCGGCTCTTCGAGCCGAAAAGGAGCCCAGATAGCATTGAGGTGATGTGCGTCGATAATAGAACAAGATGTCACTATGTCAAAGCGAGCGACTCCGCGAATCCGAAGAACCGGTTGGGCGGATACTGAAGCCAGAAAATCTGAGTGATCGTAGAAATCGAAAGAAATCACACGTGACGATGGTAGCTAAGGGTTGAGCGTTACCCACGTCAGCTTGTAATCTGCTCTCGATCGTTCCTTTCGCATAGTCGCGTCTTTCCCCATAGAATTCATCGAGTTTAAGTACGAGGAATGGAATGACTTGCTCCTTCCTGACAACGAGGATTCCTCGAGGATTCGCGATTTATTCACAACTCAGAGCTCAAGACCCCGTAGCGATAGTTTTTTGAGGGTGTAAGAGTCGCTCCGCATGCGAATCGAAACGCGAAATTGTCAATCAACTGGATATAGAAACTTTATTTAGCTATCCGATGCTCAGCGGATAATCCGACGCTCTGGACCTATGAAGAATTACCGATGAGCTCCTGCGTGTGGCGAGCTGGATGCTTCGCCCTCTCGGATGCTTTGAGATCGTGAAGACATGTTCCTTCTTAATGAAACTTGATCCGAGCATCATAACCGTTGCTCAATGAAGCTTGGAAAAGCCTCGCCGATGGCTCGGTGGCTCGCAAACTCTCCTGACATTTACTCAGCTGATGGGAGTCTGTGGGACACCGGTGGAGTCAATAAACTTCGTCGCTGTAAACGAACTGGTCGTCGATTCCTGGTGTCCTTGAATGAGGTCTGCCCTCACCACAAGACGCATCGCCCAGAAATCGCTACGGTAAGAGTCCGCGCGCGAGATTAGAGCGGTGCAGTTGAGGTTGCACACAGTGTTAAGCCCGGTTAAGTCTCTTGGGTCGAAAAACTGAAGGGATCGCAATGAGCTCCATGAACTATCAGCCAGACAGTTCCTTGGCAGTCTCAATCTCAATTCCCATGGATCCGAGCTGCGAAACCCGTGAGTACACGTGGGTCGGAGTATGGCTCGGAGTACATACCCATCGGCAATGAAGTGAAGTGATACACCTACCTTTATTGAGGTGAAAGGTCGCGAGGTCCATAACGACTTCGTCAGCTTCTCCCCTCGACCATGCAAGGCTTGCATAACATCCAGCTCTGTGGACTGGAACTCGAACAGTCGGTCTCCGATCCGGTGCTGTGTAGAGCAGAAGCCTTCAGAGGGTAAAATTGCCGTATGGGCGGACAGGATCACTTTCTATGCTCATCCACCCACTCGACTTCTAGTGAGTCCAGACGCGGAAATAGAGAGCGCCATTATTCCTCATAAATTAGTCGATTTTTCCTAGTTCCGCTCCCGATGCCGATTTCTGGCAGAAACTCAAGCGCGTACGAAATTTTATTCTTCAATCCCGACGGAGCATCCGACCGAGAGTAATCAACACCGAGAGTATTCTTCAGCACAATTATTATATGTAGTATTACCATAAGCAGAATCAATCGACACGTCTCGTCGAAGTGCCTCATTCTCTTGCCAAAGAGGCGACACTTATCTATCCGGCTCACGATCAGAGCCGTCCCGGAGCTGGGCGGAAAATTTCTCCAGGACAGCGATTCTCAAACTTTTTTCTCCTACGTCTCCCTTCTGCCTCTTGAGAAGCGCTCGCGTCTCCCCCGAGGGTCATCGAATATCTGAGAATAAAGAGTTTCGACCGAGACATGCCACAGTGCCGTTTTATCCGTACATAAGGCTTCATCCTTTAATTGTACAATGATTATAAGCTTGGAGTACAGTGGCAATGAGCTTGGTGAGCTTCCAGAAACGTGAAATCAGGTCGGTCGGGAATTCTCGGATCCCTAAGCGTCTCCCGCAGGAGACGCGTCCCCCTAGTTTGAGAGACGCTGCTCTAGGAGCAGGTCCGAATACGAAGCCGTGGATCATACGTCGGGAGTGCCCATGGTATGCTTAATGTAGATACGCTTGCCTAAGTGTGCAAGGAAGGGGGAGGTTGAGATGGTCTCCTGCTGTGGTCAGCTCCCGGGAACGTGAGAGGACAGCACGGAATCTTCTCGAAGTTTTGCTCACTTCGATCGGACCCATTAGCGCGTCCCCCGCTGTGGTTGACCGTGGTCAGAATATTCTCAATAGCGAGAGCCTAACGGCGTCGGAGCTCTGGACTTCTCCGGCTGCCTCAGCCGCTCGCAGGGTCTCCGTTCCCGCGTTGCAGCCGAGGAGGGAGCGTTAAGTTCTCCGAGAATCACAGCAACAGCGGCGTGAGAGATTCGTACGAAGCTAATGACGGGTTGAGGAGTGTAAGCTCCTGACCTCTCTCGATTGCCGAACGTCGATGAACATTCCTCGCTAGCTGTGGGATTGATTACTCGAGATTTCCCTCGTCGACCCGATGTGAAGCTGCCCCGCTTCACATCTTTTAGGTGGGGCAGACAAGAATGACTAAATAACCAAAAAATGGAATGAACTTGTTTCCACTGCGTTAGAATGTCGGACAGCAATTTCTGAAGCGATACTATCGCTAGTGAAAACTTTATCTCCTCTCGCTCGAGATACTGGACGGTGCTCATGTAAGCGATCTTGGCATCTCGGCGCGTCATTCGGCAGAACGATCGAGCTGACGAAGCATTCATCGATTGCGATCTTGACCACGGCTAGCAAGGTACAGCCCAGGTTTCCGAACAGGACCTCTAGGGGACGGAGTCCTCTAGTTCGATTGGATTTTCTATCATCCAATCCATTGATTCGGGTAATTAATCTCGTGTCAAACCTCTCGATAGAAAATGGCGCTCCGAGAGTCGCATGGTGCTCATAACACCTTTAGGAGCCATGATAGTTGATCGCAGAATGCTTCTGCGGGTTCCGCATCCAACGTCGTTCGAATCTTGAACAGGGTAAACACCCATATCTATCGCAGTCAGATCTCCGCCGAGTACTCTGACGGGCTCGAGTATCGACCATTCGTCTACTAATCGGGTTACTCCCAGGGGAGATGCCCTCTGCACCCCGATGGGCGGAATATTCTGCATTATTAGCGCGCACAGATTCACGGGTACAGAACGTCTGGCCATTATCGGCTACATTCAGTCAAAGCGACGAGGAAACCAGTGATCCCTAGTAGAGAGCCGCTTCGCTATCCATGAGGAAAAGCCAGATATGACGACCAGATTGTACCGGAATCGAGTGGAACGACACTCTTTTTCTCGACACTTGGAACAAAACAGGTGTTCTCATGCACGGCGAGCTCGTATATGGCGTCCAAGTTGAACGTCCAGTGCACCTCTCTCGATCATGATCGCTTGTTGTGAGTGCGATTCTCGTGCGGTGCAGCACGCGTGGTGCCTCTCTCCGGCCTATGACCCTTTCGCTCCATCTCTGAGCCGCCCGGAAATTGAGTGTCCGAACCGCCGGTGAGTGATTGATCTAGAACCACGCCATGAATGTCGGGGCTATCACCTTCTAGCGTATCTTCTCCTCGCTTGCATCGTAGCTATCCGGGAAGTCGCTCCGATCGCTCCTTCGGAGTCAGAGAGCGGAGGGTTCCCCGTGATCCGCCCAACGGGAAAGAGTTGTCGAAATGGATCCTGATTGCTCAGATGACCATGCTTGGAGCGGAACACCTTTCACTGCTTCTGAACACTCTCTCATTCTCCAACCATGTGCTCTGAATCAATGATGATGAGCGATTGGCGGAAGGATCGGCGAGCGAATACGACGCGACTTCTTCCTTCCACCTCGACAGCATCGAAAGGCAATATTCGGGTTCGAGAGGATGATTATGCCACATGATTATTGAAACGTCAGGGGCTGGACTCTCTGAGGGTGCCCGACACGGCTCTATACTCCCAGAGCTGGGAGAGACCCCGGCGTCCAGGTTGTTTGTCTGGAAAAGTATCTGAGTCCTTTGGGGCCGGCAATGTTCTCACAACGCATCTATCATGGATTATCATCGTTAATCGCGAGGCTTACAAGCAGTGTGCAGAGACTAATCAGGATTGAGTACGGTCCATCGAGCTGGCAATCGACCCGGATGGCCCGGTCGGAGATGGATCCACAGTCTCCGGTATCACCAGCTGGCTTCGGAAGGGAGAAGCCGGAACGCCCTCGTTGTCGGAATCTTTCTTCGATTGTACTGAGTGGCGAGAGCCAAGATGGGAAGAGATGGGGATCTGCTTGCCCCGGTACACCCGATGATAATCAGACTCCCTCCACCCTTGCTCGTCCCCCTGATCTAACTCACCGCATGATTGTAACGCCTTGACTCATTCGCCATTGATGGGCGATGCTGAATCGAGCTTGCGATGAGAGTCCTGATGAAATCCGAGATGCTGCCGAGAGGGTGGACTCGATCGGAAGAAACCGGCAAGGGGGTGAATCAAGCTCAAGACGTCCCGGGCTTCGTTCTCAATAACTTCCATAAATCAGAAAACTAATGTCTCTGAAAAAAACTCTACACGAATTTCCAAGCATGGGGAGAGCATCGGGTACACTCCGCGGGACGAGTCTGATCTCACGCAAATCTCTTCCCCACGGAAAGATGAACAGCTTCGAGCACTTGGCGGTTTGCAGAGGAGGATCAGAAAAAAAGCCTGACAGGAGGATCGCTTCTGAAGAGAGAAAGATTCGAGCGAGCATTTCGTTCAGTTACAGTGAAAAAGATGGACTACGAGCGCATGCCGCTACTGAAGCGCGTACTGGTCTCCCTCTGCATGACACTCTTGTACGTTCTACGCCTACTCTCAGACTATTTAGCGTTCCCTGCTCTGAGCGCCTTCAAAAGCGGCCGCTCGAAGCTCCAGCCAAGAGTAGATGAGAAGATTCTGCTCATGAGCGCAAGCGATCTCGCCGAGAAGATCCGATCTGGCGAGGTAATTACCCGTCAGGGAATCCGTTTACATCTCTGTTCGATTCAATAGAAGAGTTGGCTGAGATATAATTGCGCTCTCGAATATTTCAGTTGAGCAGTCATCAGGTTGTTTTGGCTTTCGTGAAGCGCTTGCGAGAAATAGATCCTCTCTTGAATGCTGTCACCGATGAGAGGTTTGTACGCAGCTTTCGTTCCCTCCGAATGTCTCGTTCCGAATTATATTCCAGATCAACCCCGCAGACCGGAGGCAGAAATATTTGATCGGTTGCAGGTATCGTGCCGCACTCAGCGAGGCGAAGAAGGTGGATGCCGAGCTAAAAGAATGTAGGTCAGACGAGGAGGCACTTCAGAAGATAAAACTGCAGAGACCATACCTAGGTGTACCGATAACGACGAAGAATGCTTTAGCTGTCAAAGGTTCGTCACGTCCAATCTCGAGTTGTTCGATAAGGGCTTCGGCGACTCGGAAGATCACTCTCTAAAATGACATCGCTCGTCCCGAATTTGATGTGCAGATCTCGGGAATGAAGCTGGCTTGTATCTCAAGAAAGGCACGAAATCTCCCTCGGACTCCTATGCGATTTCCGTCATGCGAGCAAGCGGGGCGATCCCACTTGCGGTGACGAACACGCCTGAAATGTGTCTGTGGATGGAAAGCAACAACAAACTCTTTGGAAGGACCTCGAACCCCTACAACCTATACCGAACGTGCGGTGGATCGAGCGGTAAGAAACAGCGCTCCCGCTAATTTGCTGCGCTATGATATTCAGCCCCGGGACCGACTGGCCTCGATTGTAGCCGGAGATCGAGCCCAATCGTGAGCGGAGAGTGGCGCAAGACTCGGGATCGACGACTCGGTTGCGCGATCGGGGCTTGTCGCGAAGGATTTTTCGAGTGAATTCAATTATGAATGTCGAGAGTCGAGACAGGAATCATCTCATCAAACGGCGCATCCCGCATTCTACAGAAAACATCCTTTGAGACGTGTCACTGGTAGGAAGGAGTGAAATCTGAATAATCCAGAGCGATTGCATAACGGAAGAAGGCATCGAAGTCTTCTGCAGAATTCAATGAAATCTACCGTAATGCTAATAAGCTGATCCTTGGCTGAATGTCAACTCGAGCCCTGTTTATCTCCATCGAAGTCTCTCGTGGGCGATAATATTTGAGGGTAGATAACCTCCCAGACTCGCGTCATTCGATGCGTCTCTGGTCTAGTTGTGCGAAAACAGCCCTCATAAAATTTTCTGTCTCCGAATCGATACGTGAAGCGGGATGCGCTAGGGGATTGCATCTTTCGGGAATTGGAAAGTGGACACTGATGAAATCGACGCGTCCACGACCGGAGAGAAAGTGAACTCTTTCGGAACGAATATTTTTCCATTCAAGGTGGTGAAGGCGCAATACTGGCGAGCTGCGGTTCCCCGTTCGGAATCGGTACAGACATCGCGGGAAGTATCCGTGTACCCGCTGCATACAACGGAGTTTTCGGCTTGAAACCGACCATAAGTGAGTGAATGGGAGATTGTAGATTCTGGATAACTACAAATCATGAATTTGTCGAGGTCCGATAACCGGCAAGTCGGCACGTCTAGAGAGGTACCGCGGACTTATGCCAAATTTTGTGTTTTTTCCGCGCAGACACCGTCGACATGACTGGTCACTACCCGATGCCAAAGGATATATTGTACCCCCTTCTGATCGCTGGGCCGATGTGCAAGTACGCGAAAGATCTCCGACCTTTCCTCAAAGCTCTGGTGGGACCTGAAACCGCTAAGCGAATGAACTTAGACTCGAGGCCTAGTCTACGCAAGCTCAAGGTTCGCTTCGTCTGCCGGATAGTCATTCAGCTATCGGATATATGTAGATGATCGATGTTTGCTCTCGAAACCCAGATATCCACCCTGGCCCTGTCTTCAACAAGATTTGCCGGGGGACTGCGACGCGTCGCGACGCCGGCACCTTTCCATCGAGGCGAACGATGACGACGAGTCCCGATAGCCGGCTGTTGCCAAATTCCCGCGCCAATTTTCCCCTGGGATCATATGACCGATGACTTCGTTGACTTTCTGTCGGCGCGCCGATAGGACAGTCGCCGCGGCGACTGTGCATACCGAGGTCCAACGATGTCTAACGTGGAGATCGAATTTCCAAACAGGTTCTCCACCTTGGAGATTTCCATTCGAGCATCATCACCCCAGTGAAGAAGGAAATAGCCCAACGCACAAAATCAGCAGCGCTCCATTTAGCCTCTCTGAGCAAGTCGGATTCCCAATCAATCGTGATTCCCAAAATCGCTCATGCGTTCGAAATTTATATGACCTACATGACCAAGGCGAAATGTCCACCGTTGGCAGAAGAGCTGGCTATGCTAAAGGGTAGCATATCACTCAAGAGAGAAACGGTGAGTGGAAAAACAGAAAATTGAGCGATCCCGCTTCTTTTGTCGTTTTTTTTCTGGGAGAACTTTCTCTGACGGACTTCGTGCAAACTCGCTCGACTTTCTTTTGTGAATCCGCTTCAGGTGAAGTACTTAATCGGACGATCCAAACACACGATGCCGGCTCTCTTCGTCGCGTACTTAGAAAAGTTGGTGCAAAACTCAAAAGACTCGTCGCTTGTGAAAGATTTTTACCGGGTGAGTTCGGAGGGATCGTGGGAGCCGAAGATACGGCCTGTCTCACGAACGGACAAACTCTCTAACGATCTCCTCCACGCTTGTTCCAGATGAGTTTGGATTTGCAGGCCGAGGTTGAGACTTTGTTGGGGGAAGACGGCATTCTCGTTTGTCCCACCCTGCCCGATATAGCGCCATACCACGGACTGACGATTCTGAGACCGTCTATCCTCGCGCATACAGGTCAGAACTGAGCTATCACGAGTCGTCGCCGGATCCGAGTCCACTGTCATGAATCTCACGCTGAGCTCCTCCTCCCTCAGGCATTTGGAATATTTTGGGTTTCCCTGCCGTCTCCGTGCCCATGGGTCTATCGAAGAAAGGCATGCCTATAGGTGTCACCGTGGTCGCCGGTAAATTCAAGGACAACATTTGTTGCGAGGTAGCCTTGGAGCTCGAAAGGCAATTCGGAGGATGGGTGCCGCCTTTCGAGACTTCGATCGAAAACTGGGCTTCTCTAAAAGAACAGATACTGCTGTGAGAAGGTAGCGAAGGAGAACGAGAGGTTGCTGGGGTCGTTTGGAGAAACGCTGAATGTTCCTACCTAGTCTCCATGAGTGCCCATAGCTCCATCTCGCCTGGAATCTTAGCCTAAGATGGGGAGAAACGTACAGATTAATAATTCCTAAGCCAACAGGCCCTTTGTGAGAAAACGGGTCTTTGTGTAAAGTGTTCACGTATCCCTCATTCATAAAATGACATACATCATATTTCGGGTTTCGGATGTTCCGCTGACCGACCATCGACGAGCTTACCGTATTCCGAACGAATCTGTTCGGAAGCGATGAAACCTTGAAGGAGGAGCTCATTGTCATCCGAAACTGCGGCTTTATAGAATGAGCTTCCCCCTGACCTTCGCTCAATCGTTTCAATCAATAAAGACTATCGCACGAATGAGAGTTCCTTACGCACAAAACTTCCCTCTTCGCTCTGCAGTCATCCCGGTTTCTCATTTCTCAGGTTATGTCATAGCGAAATTCGAATCGAAAAGTCTGCTCTACGAGAGGGGCGAGCTTCACTTTTAGGGGGCCGAAGATTGCTCGACGTATCTATAGTGTCTTGTGTTTCTGCATTCCGTGGAGAACATGCGGACGATGTAGAGGAGAAACGATCCTACGCCGGAAAGAGGTGGACTCGCTCCAACTCGATTCTAAAATTGAAGAAGCGAGGAACGACTTTCTCCAAATCAGTCGCCGCCAGCCAGCGATGGATCTGGATCGAGGTCCGCCGCGACTCGCACTCCGACGGACGATAATCTTGAGAGGAATCAGGTGGACGATCATCGCTGGACGAAACTTGCAGGCTTCGATTGGACGCTTGCCAGCCGATCGAGATGCGCGATCACTTGCGTCATGATCACGGCTAGCGACGAGGTCGAGGTCAACTAATGACGCGAAGTCAATAATTATTGTCGTCCCATCTCGGGACAAGCCGACGTCTACATCCTGTCACGAATTCAAGAGTCACATTTTTGGCTGTAGACGGCAGCGAGGCGAAAACGAGCTGCGCGAACAAGTAGCTCCGTATCGAATGCTTCGGAACGGTCGGATGATGCCGCTCGGCGATTGATGGCACTTCCTCACACGGGGCATCGCCTGTTGGCGGGATACGGGCGAGCGGAATCAAGAAACGAGGGCTGGTCAAGGATGAGACACTCGAATGTAGAATGAGTTGACTTATCTCATCATTTATAAATTCATCATGTATACATCGTGAAAATCGATGCGGTGTCTCGATAATATCAATCAGGTAAGAATACGAAAGGTGACGAATAGATCGGAGACCGCTCACTTTCCCTCTAGAGTTTCACTCAATGTTTCCTTTTTTCTAGTCCCGGTTTAAATTGGCAGGATCGGAGCGTCAATGCTCTCATGTTCGGACGCTGTCAATCGTCATTTCGGAAAGGCTTCCGAAGTCGAGAGAAAAATCCGTGATTATCACTGGAGGGAGACGTTTCCCCCTTTCCCTCAACTGTCTTGTGACATTTCGGTTTAAGGCAGAGAGTTCCCGAAGAGCCTCGTTCCCAGCATTCCACAGTAGCGTTGTGTCCACAGTCCAGTGTCACCGTGACCCTATCTTGACATCTGTAATCGCAGGAGGAATGCTCTCAGTTTCTCTCCAGGACACGGAAAAATTGAGGAAGGGATAGATCCTCTCAAAAACGAAGCCTGCCCTGATTGTGAATTTATGCGAATGTTGACCGGACGGCTCACCTGTCGATACACGGCTGCCCACAGCTATATGGACAAGGGTGACCACACGGTAGGATCTTCTTGCACCTGAGAACGACCAGATTCACGTCAGTAGCGAGTCATCGTCCGGTCATGAGGAGCTTCATGATCCAGGACCTTGATAATGGAAACGATTTTTGCCTCTCTCTACAGGGTGACCAAGATTCGTCGAACGTTTGATCATCGTGGAAGTGACATTTTTGGGGGCACAGATGTCCACAGGATAGGACAACTTTGCAGATCTCCTGACAGCCGCTGTGGTTTCTTAGATTCTTGCCTTCACCAAGCAAGACCTGGGTTCAAGAGACGACGTTGAGAGTTTGCTCCCTCCAGATTCTCCAATGGATTTAGTCATGATCACCGTCCTTGGCGGGATCTTTCATACTGATCAATTCAATTGGGAACTCACGTCGCATTGATGCTTCGGACAAGTGAACACGATGTTCCTCCGAACTAGATTAGCATTCAACAGGTTTGTCAGGAACTTGTTGACATGCTCATCCGCCTGGTGGAGAGAAAGGGACTCCAATGAAGATCATGAGGAAGATACTGATGTTCAATCGATACTTCATCCTCCAATCTTTCCCGGGATAAATTCCTGGTGTCATCGAAAACCTTTCTGAGTTGCTGTATGTTGCCGACCATGAAGAACTCTCGCGTTGTGCACTTGACGAGTCTGTAGAGGCTCGGGAGGCTCTTCGCGGTCAAATTGTGCAGCGACACCAAGGTCTGCGTGTGTTTAACGAACAGTCTGTGGGAGGGAATAGTAGGTTTTCTCGCGACTGACTTCCGACTACCCAGACTGGTCGAGGGGCTCTCATATCTCTCCGGGCGCATGCCGAAGTGAATCCGATGTTGTCCTGCCCCTCGAATATTTCATGAATGGGTGATAGGAATAGAAGTGGAAGGGGAGTAACGGACCCGTTCTCTTCGGCGATTCCCGGTAATCTCACTCCGTTTTGTAGAGCGTTCCGCAACTCCTGCAGGTTCCCATCGGCGGTGACTGCGGAGAAAAATCGGTGGAGACGTCAGACGGTCAGACTTAACTTCAATAGACCAAATATAAGAGACGGGAGCGGGATTGGGGACAAAACATCAATTGATCCGATCGACGCACCGCAGCAGCCAAAATGGTCGTGATCTCCGCGCATGATGAAAAATCGACGGAGATCTGCGATGAAGTTCGCCTCGAAACGAATCGCTGCTTCACCCACCATCGAATGCCTGATCAGGACCACGTTATTCGGACTCTCTACCTGCCAGTATTCGACTCTCATAATTATGGGAGAAAATCTATCATGATCCATATACATTCAAATGTTCGGTGGGAATCTAATTTACCGTAATTACTGATTCATTCGTAGTTTACCTTGCTCACGGATTTGGACGCATTGTGCTTGAAACACGTCAGGAGTAGTGAAAGACCCTTATTGAGATTCACATCCCGATTCGAGAAAAAACGGAAGTCGACTTTATCCGTGTCGATGAAAGTTCTCAGAGTTTTGATGAATTCTGATGAAACGGATTTTCGGCTCCGTCTGAGGAAATTCGAAGACTCCTTATGCTTCCACACTATCACCGGATCCCAGAAAAACGGAGTGTCGCAAGCTAGGTAAATATGGTTCTTGTGGACCCTCAGAACCGCACTGAGCTGCGCTCTGGTCAGCGATTCTGCGTCCAAGACCACAGAAGCTGCGGGGGCGAGTTGCGTCAGAAGGGATAGGCTGTTCGATACGTCTTCGATTGTGCCTACAACGGGGATGACATGTAATTAGCGACGGCAATCAAAAGATTCCGTCATGCGGATCATCGAAATTCTTTCGCTAATTATCGACGGGGAAAAAAGGCGGAGCTCCCCGGCGCCGGAAATATCCCTCCCTGGATATGCGTAAACACCCACCGTAAATGATCGTGACATCTGTGAAGACACTAGCCCCGAGGTTCCTATCGGTTTCAGTGAGAAGATCCTTGAGAGCTCCGAGTTTCGAAACAGTCTCTTGTATGTCCTGCATTCGTGACGCCTGGTCGGAAATAATTGAAAGCGACCTCAATACACCGAAAGTACTCAATAGCTGCTGTTCTCTGCATTCCGTCCAGAATACTGTCGGGGATGACTCGTGGATGTTTCATGCAACCTCGAACGGTCCCTTTATTCTTCAAATAAGTACCATGCGTGCCCCTGGAGCGCGAAGGTATTGGATGGGCACGAGTGCTCACTGAAAGAGCGGCCATCGCATATGAACTGTTTTATTTTCCGAAAAAGAGACCAATATCCACGTTCGCTTCCGTACGTGTAGTCATACTTCTTGCACCAGGGCTTGTCGGAGACTATACATGCATCCTTGCCGAGCGCACAAAATCATCGAGTGTATCAGCTGAATGACACCAGCGAAAATTCCCAGGGAAGCAGCCGTTGTTGCTTCTGTAGACAGGAAAGTGCCGGCCGTCGAGAACACAATTATCGAGTAGACCAGATAGAATATCGCGATTTCCGAAGAAATCAATGTGGAATAGAAGGTGGACACCGGCGGATTGTGGCAGAGGCTGGCCAGGAGTAGAGTCATGCCCGTGACGACGCATAGGTACGCCGTAGCGCAAAGTAACAACGTGTATCGATCGTGTCTTGTGATATTATAGCATAAAACCACGATCGCTAGACCCAACAGAAGCTCGAAAACGAGGAGCGTGACGTCTACAGTCTTGGAGTTGCAATTGATGGTGTCGCCGCTGTTCACGGTCGTCACGGTCGTGTATGCGACCGGATTTTGGGGCACCTCTGATACCGTGTATTGTAAACCCATCGACGTCGATGGTTTCGTCGTTTTCAGCCAGATCTCGGAGTTCTCCTCATCACAGAGCAAAATGATTATTCCCTTCCCGGACGAATTCGATATATGATTTTGAATTTCAAGCGAGAACGAGAGGGGTAAAAGCAGAAAGGTGAGTAGTAGCTCTCTGAATGCTCAACGAGATGAGAGACCCTTTATCATGATCTCGATACTTGCCTTGTGGTCCATTTGTGCCGCTTTGTTGCTGTATTCCGAGCAGAAAACCTCAAGCTGCATCTCCAATTTCCGAATTTGGTCTCTGTACTCGAAATGACACTCCCGGAGACATCGTATCGTTTCGACTTGTTCCTCGCTTTCGAAGGACCGCTGCAAAGCGACGAGGTGTGACCGATCGAAATCCCGCCAAAATCGAAGGAGGCCTCCGATCAATGTGAGAATAATACCTCTTTACTTAGTCGCAGGTTACGCAGATTCAGGAAATTGCAATACGACGGTACATTCACACGTTCTCGGACGTGGTCCCCGATAATGAGGAGACGGCTGTTCGTGGGAATACTCTCCTGGAAGGAGACAAAAATGAATAAATCCTTCGAGCCAATCGATCGCCTATCCTACTCTCATCGTCTCCCCGTTAGGGATCATTTTCTGGAATTTTCTCCTTCGATCCCGGGAGCTTTGGGTGAAAACAATGACATTTGGGCGAGCAAAGACCCGCCCCGGGAACTCCACTTACTTTTATACGCTGGAAAATGTGAGTCATTTTCGCGCTCTGCGGGGGCCCTTGAACGACTCTCAACGTGCATTCTACGCTCAACTGGGAAGTCGGGAAATTTTTAGTTACGGCTCAGCTCGATCTCCCCGCTCTCGAGTGGTCAGGCGAGTGAATCGCTCTATAAGGCGCCTACTCACATCAGTGAATCCAGTGATAGCGAGCTGGTGATATTTCTTCTCATAATATAAACGATTCACCAAAATTATATTGACTGGAATCGCTCCTCCGCGGAGACTGAAGTTCACGGACTCGTGCTCCATGACGGTGATCTGAGGGGTTCAAGAGCGGTCGATGATCGGACGGATCATGGGACAAGGATGCCTTGATGCATCCCAAATGAATCGTGTTCTGGTGCGTGATATGCATCTACCTTTTTTGCTTCACTGGAAGTTGCAATCACGGTTCCCTCCAGGATAGCGATACTACTCCCGTCCTCCAATACTAAGCCACCTTGGAATTCTACTAAAACACGGTCACCACACTCTAAGGCATGGATGGTGCAATTCCTCTGCAACGTGAGATATATTTCGTTCCGCGAGGCTGTATCCTTTGCTCGAAGCTGAGTGCAGGTCCAGTAGAGAAAAAAGTCCAACGTCCTACCTGTGATTTGACCACACTGCGCCCTAGATCGACCACAGAATACCGTTCGGAGCAGGAAGTCAATAAGGCGTTGTAGAAAATTGGCTCCAAATGCTTGCTGCTTCCGAGATGCTTCGCGCTGTCTGCGATGTGTCTACGACTTTTGGGACTGAATGAGCTTCTGAGATCGTTCGTCTTGAGTATCTGGGATTTCTGCCAAAAGCACGCATAATGGTCATGCTCATGTGAAAATCGAGTTGATCGCTAAATGAAGTTATTTAAGGAGCGGAGAGCCGCAGCGAGTTTACCATCGACGAGGCGGTTGTGAGAATCGAGGTCAACGATAGCTGGGACAGAGTTCTAGTCAAGGGTCGAACAGGGTTTTGCGGCGTTGAGCACATGGCTCGACTCGTTTCACTCTGCGGTGACGGAACCTGCGGCTGGGAAGTGACGAACAGTGAGGAGAGTGTCTCGCGGAGAAAGTGACTATGCTGTTTTCAATAGGGAGTTCGTAACCAACTGGCAAGAAGTTTCCATCTGGTTGGAATGTGTCTGTCGATGCGGATGAACTCTGCTCGCTGGGCGGAGTATCATAGAACGCACTCACTCCGAGCCTCGAGGGAGAGAATGGTTCCTGAGTGGCTCTTTGAGCGAGCGGGAGCTGTGTCCTGGGTGTTCTGTGAAGACTACGGAGAAAAAAACTCAAACTCGCAAGGTCTCGCCGAAAATCAGCCGCTTGGATCACTCTTATCTTCTTGGATCTTCTAATTACCTGTCGAACGACGGCCCCAAGACTCGCGGCATCGTCGATCCATGATTTACATAGTAGTTCTCCTGCAAGTATCACGCACTTTCCATTACGCTTCTGAGTGAGCACTCCACTGATAGCTCCTGATTACGGAGTGTTTGCCTCCCGAGAGAAGGATAAGAGCGTTCTCCGAAATCTACGACCTTTGCGCTACCCGCATAGCGGAGCACCTCACTGTATTTACCATTATTCGGGACTTCCGCTCCCGTTGCAGGATTGCAGCGTCCTCCACTGCCGGGAGTTCTTCGGGCGACACGTTGCGCTCGGATATCACCAATGCCGATGTGTGCCTACTGCTGGCATACGTGCTTCCACGTTGCGCTCGGATATCACCAATGCCGATGTGTGCCTACTGCTGGCATACGTGCTTCCACGCTGTGAAGTCTATCCAAAACAATCGCCCGTCGGCCGAGAGAAGTCAATATCGACTAAACTCATTTTCCGAAGTTTTTCCCTTCTCCTTCGCTGTATGCGCATAATCGCAAATCAAAAGCCCTGCCCAACTATATCCAGTTCCTCTTCAATCGGGCAGAAGAGAAATGTCGAGAAGAGGCTCCATCATTGCCAGACCCGCCTCTGTTCAGGATCGATGGCTCGCGAGAGCAAGCGGCCGAGTCAGAGAAGTGTCGGGAAACACGTCCACGTTTCCCGGGAGGGATAAACGGCGCTTCCTACCGTTTGATTGTAACCTCGTGATATCTCTTGCGCATTCTAGCGCCACGATTCTCACCTCCTCGAAGATTCTCGCAGGGCCCGCTTGAGACCGCGCGTATGTCGGGGCACGGACTCCATCCTCGAATCATAATTCCCCCCAATTGCCCCTCGAAGGGGACTCCGCGTTCCGAGACTTCCCTTGGAGCCGATTGAGGCCCTGTTGCTGGAAATTTCCCGGGGCATCGTCGCTTGCATTTACTTCATTGCTTCACCAGATTCTTGGATCGACGCAAATGAGTTCTACAAATGGAATGACAAGCTCAGAAGTCAGTGGGTCATTCTGCTGACGCGAATGCAAATTCCCAGCCTTGGGGTTTTCAGAAAACCATCAGAGCGAGTCGATCTAGAATGGGTGCTGAGAAAACGCTCGTCAGAACCCTGGTCATCTAGTTTAAACGAGTGGAGTTCCGCTCTTTCGTCGGGGTCACTATTCCATTTATTGGTTTGTTTGGCTACCTTTTCATAGAGCCGAGTCTCGATCCAAACGATCTATTTACCTCCATGAACTCAAACTTGGTATTTGTATTCACTCTCATATCGGACTGTATTAGCAGTCTGCTGAGGAAAGCTTCCGCGATCGCGAAATTGCTGCCGTCGTTGGGCGGAAGTAGGAACCTGATATTCGTTATCTTCGTCATGCTTTTATTTGATAAAAATAAATACATGTCCTCTTTCCGATTACGGGGGAACGATAAACTCTCGAAGTCAAACGTAACAGTCGATTGCCTGCGTGGGAAATTCATCGTGAGAGCCTCGATTAGACTCTTGCCCCAAGATCGAGCGTCACATATAGTTCTGATGAGCGGGAGTATTCATCAAAGCCTACTCTTTTTCTATCTTCGGAAGCTCCCCCGAGGGACACGATCTGCACAACCACCTTCTGAGGAACCGATAAACGCTGTGCATGAGTCTATCTACCTTCACGTCACTGCGCGGTAACCGTCTCGTGCTACAGCTCGCGGAATACGAACTGACTCTGCCGAATGATTAGGAGCATCGGATCTCCGTCAGCTGTCCTCTCGGATCACCACGAGATATCGAGGCACTCTCTAGTATGTTCTCTCTTATGCTTCGTTGGAATGAGAAATCGAGACGGATTCCCGGAAAGAGCACCGAGCTAGTAACTAGACGTCATATCCATAATAACTATTCTCTACAATGCGGTCGTGCATTGCGTACAGCTCGGGGAGGAACCAGAAATCCAGAGGTCCCGTCAGGCCACCGTACTCCTCTGGGAGAATTTCTCGGGGAATGTACTCGTGCAACGATGCCATGTTGGACCCGTGGAGGTAATACCTGTTGGGGGATTGCCGAATGAACCCATTAGATTTCCGCAAGAGTAAGATTGACTGGTGATCAAGGGCGAATTCCGCCCATCTACCCCAGTTTTTTCGAAGTCCTCGGAGAACTCCTACCAGGAATATGCATGAAAACATGAATTTTTCCGTAGGAATTACCTGTTCCTCAATTTCGGTGGCACGAAAGATTTACCGATGGCGAAGCCAATATTCCACAGGTAGGATTGATTCACAATGTGCACCTTCTTAATGCTCAGCGGATAGCTCTCCTGGGCGAAGCCCAACATTTGCTGTAAAAAGTGATCAAATTCTAGCATCACCCACACTCATGATTGTAATATATTATAATACTAGAATCTTCGCCACCGTCACAGGCCTGCTGGCGGACACCCTGATTTTCCCCGTGAGCTGTTCGTGTTGAACAGCACTTTCTCAGCCCAGAAAGATGATGGATACGCGCTCGATGAAGACCAGAAGCGTAAGACGACTCGCGCGATCGTTTAGAGACTCTGACGAGTTTCCTCAATTCCCTCATTCGCTTCCGGAAGCTGTAAACAAAAGCAGCTCCCACAAAGAGACGGGACGTCGCGCGAGTATTCGCGTTCTGAATGACGGTCATCAATGGAGAAGTCATCAGAAACAGGGTCTGGGTACCGACAATACTTTTCTTTCACATGAGACGACAACTGGTAACATGGGACCATACAAGTACGAGTACAGGCACTCGCACGTGCCGGAGAAGTGTTGTCGGGAAGAAAAATGGCAATGCAGGCGAGCTCGCACAATCGATGGTTTGGTAAGCGGCAGCAGTTCGCGGATTCATTCGCGTAAGTCGCGGCGGCTGCTGCTGTTGTGGCTGGCGCTGCCGTTGACCGGACGTGAGTTGCACAAGATATATCCGAAAATTGCGGAGGAATTTCCTTTTCTCAGCAACTCAATGTTCGTCTCCGCGTCGGTTTTGTCATCGCTCTTAGCTGGGAGTGTCTCCCAACTCCCAACGATCGAAAATACTCCCGATTTACCCGTGGTATCACAGGCGGAATGAGATCAAGGAGGAACTGGGGAAAGCCTGAGTTTGATTTCGCAGGGCATCGGGCAACTTCGACGCTTAGAAATCCGGATCGGAAGTAAATCCGACACATAATTGGATTTTCCCGTTACCGACTGTGTCAGTAGCCTACTAATTACGCGAATAAGTCCTGATTGATAAACATACGGAGAACGAAAGTGGTTGCGCAATCGTTCTCAAACTATCGGCAAAGAGCGACTCTCTGATCTGTCGTCGCCGGAAAATGTCCGGTCTCCCAGGAAAAATCATTTTCGCCCAGTGAACCTCGGCATACTTGACGCTAGCTGCCGCAGACTTCTTGTCCACCTTTGTATTCATTGAACATTATTTTTCGACGGCCCAGAAACGAACTTTGACCGCAGATGAATAATCACGATGAGAGTCTGTGCGTCTGCCAGGAGAGGCCACCGTGTGACGAAAGGATGAAGTAGAAATATTCCAACGATCGCACCCGCTGAACAAGCCTTTCGACATTCGACATGTATGAATAGTTTCTATTTTCTCGTCTGCTCCCGCGAACCAGACCACGATTCCTTGCCTCGCGAAAAAGTTTTCCCATATGTAACGACGCTTCCTGATAGATCCTCAGCTGTTCGGACGATAGGGCAACCCCCGGCGCGGCGGGTTCTGGAGAATCCGGCGACACAAGTCTGCCACCTCTGCGACTCACTAAGTTTTTCTGGAAGTGTACTGATGACTATGTAATGGAGAAAACAGAGAACGAGGAGGCCGACTCCGTCCGAATTTCTGTCCCCGTTCACGACAGAGCCCTGGACGCGAATAATGTCTCTCCACAGAAACTATTTCTTCGATAGAGAATTATTTGAAAAGCTTTATGATCAGTCAAAATGAATTTCTCGGTCCCGCGAAAAATACTCCGCGCCTGTCGGACAGTCGAAGTATCTATCTGCCCAGATAGACCTCCCAAGAGGATCGATGACGTCAAGGAGGTTTTGCAAGTCGAGGTGAGAAAACAATAGCGACTGCAGCAAAAGTGAGGTCATCAAAATAGATCGGACTCGCTCCCGAGTATCCATGCGGACACTGACAGTGCACGGACCGGATAAATGAGCTATTATTTTCTTTTTGATCATTGCATAACGACCGAACGTTTGGATCATCGCCAGTACTAGCAAGATGGTTCCATCGAGGCTCCATACCATGTCTCGCTCGGACGTCTTCATACCCGACAGTTTATAAACAAACGAATCCCACCGGGAGCTTTACTTACGGATATGTAATCCGGTGTCACGTATCTGATCAGCCAACTGTATTCCAATCCTTGCAAGTCGATAATAACGGTGAATCCATTGAGCTGCACTTCAGGGAGATCCATTACCAATTCGCCGGCGTAAACCGCCGGGGTGTAAATATCTAGAGGACCGTGTCCAGTCGAGGGACGCCACTTGCCGAAACGACAGATAATAACGGCCGTTCCGTCCCTCGGATTCCTGTGCTTGAGGATCGTACCACATTGGAGATCGTAGAGCTGAGCGAAGTCTCTGGGGCCCATGCCTACGGGAACGTACAAAGTGGGATTCTGTAGGCGCACTTTGTAGAAGTTGCACATCAGCTTGTAGGCCTTCTCCACATTGAATTTCCGAGCGCGTAGGAAACGCAGCAAAAAACGGTCATCGTCAACTTTCGGCGTGAACTCTTCCACCATGGCGAGTTTTCTCCGGAAATCGCGCAAGGCCTGCGCCCGTCTGGTCAGGGTCTCGCCCATAAGCTTCTCGGCGCGCTTCAAGAAATCGGGGCCTTCCTCCGCGTCCGTCACGACGATGAGGCTCAGCGAGTCGCCTGAAACCTTCGGCACCTCCAACATGGTCGTTTGAGCCGATCGGCGTACTCCTCCGAGATGAAAATTCACTTATGCCACATTCACTGTTGCCCCGTCTGGCCGCGGCAACCGAGCTATCTAACGGTCCGCTGAATTGTTCTGCAGATCCTTCTTGTCAGTTGAGAGAGGGCGAAGTCTAGCTCAGACTTCAGAAGCTTTCAGGGCTGATGCCTCTCGCTCAGTCAGTCGCCGACGCACGCAGGAATACCGCAGGTAAGAATTCTTTCCAGATTCTCCGTCGACGCGCATTCAGTTCGACTTTTGATTGCACGTCACCGACGAATGATTTAACTACGATAGCTCTCGCACAATCAGGGAAGGGCCTCTAATCTTGTCATATCATTGGCTATGGAGAGCGGTGTCAGAGAGGGAGGAACTCCCCTCTGTGTATCCGATAGAATAAATTACCCCGTTTGTGGGAAGCGATCCATCTGATAAGGAACTTATTGGAAAAGGCTAGAGTATCCACTCTGGGAGCCGCCTCCGCCACTGTGGGGGCTCGTTATTCAGTTTGCTCCCGGAGCGTTGGGCCACGAAATATATTAAAGTCAATGAGCGCTGGCAAGCGTAGTGGTCATGAAATAAGTTACCAGAAATCTGCTCGAGGCTACGGAATCTACAGGGTTCCCTTATCGATTAAGCAGAGCGTATCCGTCTTGATGTCCTTGGGGATGATCCCCGCGCCGCGTATAAGGTAGTCGAGGAGGGAAATCATCCTTGAGTGATGTTGACATCCACGCGATTCTGCTCCTCGTTCCGTTGACGCTGATTGGAACGAACATTGAGCTATTCGTGCATGATCGCTTCCTCCGCGGAGCCGGCGCATAGATCATCGTTTGCCCGGCCGAGTCGGAAGGTGCGAGAAACCATGTGATAAAGGAGGCGATACGGATCGTGGAACAGCTGATCAATCTCCAGTGAGCAAAACAACTTTTTCCTCACGTGCTCGATAGAGACACAGACACCTGTGTATTGAATCCGGAGTTCCGGAGCGGAGGCAGACTGTGACTGATCAAGTTGTCCTGGCATGAAGGTCGCCTTCCCAGCCTGGTGCGTGCCGGATGGGACATCCTGCGAGAAGACTTTCTTTAATCACATTCCGGATTTTCGGAGCTCAAGGATTCGCATTGCAAATGGAGGAGCCTTAGTCAGAAATTTTCCATGGGCCGAATCAGTGACCTCACGAGGACATCGAGAATGCCGGACCGGGCCCTCCATGTCGAGCATCCCCAGAGATTCGGACGAAACCGGAAATCGGAGCGTCATTCGCGAACTAGGGGACTGTATCTGGGAACGAATTTTGTCATCACATCTCACTCAGATTTCATGCGAACCAAAATTATCGAGAAATAGCCTCGAGCGGATAACTGATTTCCTCTGGAAATTATCGCAACCATTCGGTACTCAAGGAATTCACACCTCCTTATCGAGCGCTCTCGGAGAATTCGTTCGCTGCCCCGGCAGCGAAAGAAAAACTGCTTGATTCTGCAAAGCGATGACCTTGAGAGCGGGTAGAGATTTTTCTGGATCGGATCCGAACTTGACTGAAAATTACTTTGACTAGGGTCGTCATTCTTTCAGCGCCGTTCGAAAAACTCTCGTGTAAATAGCTCCGAATTGTTCTTACGAAAGCGTAAGAAGTACATCGCTCGTCAGAAAGTTCTTCCGCGTTATAGATCGCAGGTGGACTTGATGACTGTCTCTGAAGGTACCCGGTGCGGTGGCTAACAAAGAAACGTTCCAACGGATAACCTGATAAGGCGGCATACGAAAGAGAGCAGGGCGAATAGATCGAATGAATATATGAGCCGATCCGACACTTGTTAGACGCTTGCGAAGGGATACATTCTGCAGCTTCGATATCGGACCGTCTCCATCGTTTTCTGGCAAGCCTCAAGAATGCCGACCGTCGAAGTGCGGGTCGTTCGTTTGCGGGGCGACTCAACTTACTGTGACCCTGGCCAAAAAGTTATGCGGCGATCCGCTATTAAGGCTGAGTCACTCCACATTACGCGAACAATAAATTCTTCAGGCAGGTGTTTGGACAATCGGAAAACAGTACTGACGATCGAATGTGTAGTTCAATAGGACTTTTTTCTGCTAGGACCGAGAGAGGGAATGAAATTCCTTCGCGGCGGGCACATGAAAGGCTCCACAGGGGGAGGGCGGGGGTGTATGGATCATCTCGATAGGGCATGCGGCCAGTGTCCGGTTCACGATTTTTCCAGGAAGTTCCTGATTCTTTGAGCCTGGGTCCCGAGCTTCCTCAGGGGGCCCGTTTTTAGCGGCGAGAGGCCGCACCACGCGTCCGGAGTTTCCTCGAATAGTTCACAATCGGTGTCATTCCTCTGATTCGAATCGATGGACGCGCTCATAAGTCTTTAATATGAAAATAGGCGAGTCGACAACCCAAATCTCTTACTGGGAAACATTTCTTCATAGGATCAAGCTCGCCAAGAGATCGAGTTAGCTCCGTGACATCCGCAATCTGATTTCCCTGAATTTCCTCTTCCTCACCACACCGATTTAGATGGTGGATAGATAAAGGCTCTCGCTGGTCATGGATCCGTCACAAGAAAGGAATCTCTGAAGAAGCCACGAGGGATCCTCGAGAAACGTCGGTCTCGCTCCCGCTAGCTAGAAATGCAGGCTCGAAGCTGCGCTCTCATCATACTCCAGGCTTCAGGCATGAGGCATGTTGGTTTCGGTATTCTCGATCGATAGCAGCTGTGCACTCGAGTACCCCCGGACCATCACGGTGGCCGATTGCGCCCGCACGGAGAGCGATCGTCACGTCGGCGACCGATCTCCGAACTCTCTTCCAGGAGCGAGGGAAGGTTCCGGATGTGGCCGCGGTGCACGTGTCGTCGACGGAAGATCAAGGTATCTGCGTGAGAGGATTGGCCGCTCAGGACTCGCTCTATGGCTCGAGAGGCAGGGGCGATTATTCTGCTGCTCTAGTCGAGCAGATGGAACCGGACCGTCGCAACTGATGAGGAAGCTAGGTATCGTATACTGGCGGCGACGAGGAGAGGGGGAATTCGCTTCTTGTCAGGGCTGAGCGGGTATTCCGAGGGAGCGCTAGCGGGCGAACTGGGAATTTTCTTGTGAGTCCGCCGTTCGAATGTATCCCGTGTTTTCACCGCTGCGGGAGAGTTCCTCCCGCGGCGTCCAGTTTCTGAATGTCCACGATGCGTTTCTCCGACTTATCGGTGGAGCGGCCGGCAGCGATTCGGGTTTGACATCAATCCGTGAAGGCCTCGACACCGACCGGGGAAGGACACAACCTTCGCGCGAGGATGCAGGGGTCGGATGTGATGTCGAGGGTTGGTTCCGAGGAGCTTCATTGTAGACGAAGTCCCTTCTTGAGATTTCGATACCAGATTCGAATGCCCACCACTTCAGTCTCAATTGATGCGTGTAAGTGAGAGGGGCTATTCACATACCCCCATGAGCCGCAGCATTTCGGTCCGATTTCTCTCCCGTTGCGCCTCAATGCTCGGAGCGACGAAATTAACAGACGACGCTTCTCTCATTCAACTCCACCTACCCTTGAATTCAATTTCAGCGGAGCCCGCCTAGTCGGATAATCGGCCATCCGGACAATCGGCCGACCCGATTCTCAGGCCGCTCCTTCTCGGGCCCAGTCGCATTCTGTCCGTGTTATTCTGACGTGTTGAGTCGGCCAACCCGCTCATTAGGCTTCGTAGGCCCGAACCCGATGCTGACGGCCAGAGCGGGTTCCATTGAAAACTCCCTCGAGTCGGACTATTCCTTCCCGGTCCCTAATGATTGAGACCGTCGAATGGAGCGTTCCCCGGAAATCCACCTGGTGAATGTCATGGGTCTCTCGTTCAGGCGCCTGGTACCGGGAAATTCGGTCAACATCTTGTTTCACGTGGGTCAGTTCCAATGATCACGCGGCCGATGGTATTTCTTTTGTCCAGATATCAGCCGTGAAGAGCTGAAAGCGTACATGGCAGTCTCAAACTGCTGGGGGGGAAGCGTGTGTATATCTGATTGAAAAAGCGTGAAATCTCTGAAGGACTTCGGACCTCATCGAAGGGAAACGCGACCGTGAATCCGTCGTAGTCCGGCCTAACTCGCGGAACCTGGCCCTCGATCCGCCCTCGACCATAGCGATACCTCGTGTGTGACACTTGACACCCTCAGTAGAGGAATATACAGGCATCCGTTCCCGTGGGCCGCCTCGTCCCGCAGCGTCGCCGCGGAGATTTACGTTTCGAAATACAGACAATGGATCTCTTCAAGCCGGGAGTTGGGACGTGCATCGGGGCTCATGCACCTCATAGCCAGCCGGGGAATATTGACAGCGCCAGGGTGCCATCCGAGTGTTCCACGGGGGAGCATACATGTGCAATCCTCCATTCTGAAACATCCATAGCCTGCGCAGAGCGGATATGAGTCGTCGTTGGCGACTGGCTTGCAACGCTTTTCCGCGCCCTGGGAACTCAGCAAAGATCACAGTCATCAGTGTCTCCAATCTGTATCGCTTCTCCTCGACTTTTCCTCGCTATTCTAGAACAACTCCCCCATGGATTCAATACACGCACAACTGTACGGAATCTCAGCCATACGCGCAGGTTCTCGCGTCGAATCCGACTCGAGCCCAGTGACCACTGACTGGGCAAGGGCGCACCTGAGGGGAGAGGAGCCCGAGTGGTTTCGTAATACACAGCCAGCTGACTTATGTCAAAATATCGAGTTTTCACCGACACCAAATCGGGAAGTCTTCTCTCGACAGTATGGAGAAAAGTCGAAAGTGTACAGCATGGGACTTTATCGGCCAGCGGTTATCGAGAGTCTGAGTAGATGACACAGTGGTCAGCCGGCTCGGGAAGCTGATTGAGAAGTTCGGAAACCGGTTCATCACTCACGAAACGTCGGCTCGGCAATCTCTTCCATAAAGTTGAACTGTCAAGAGCAAAAATTGTGACTCGGGGATGGAGAATCTACGAAACCGATTACTCCGGAGGACTAGCATCCGCTAGGAATTCTAAAGCAGCCGATGTTCGGCTGACATGGTGAGTTGCTAAGACTGCTAGTGGACTTCATGTGACATCAGCGTTTCGCCCACGCCTATGGAAAGCATTGAACACGATCTCGGTAGATGTCAGTCATTCAGAAGATATCGATGAAAGCAAAATCGTTTCCGAAGTACACCGCTGTCATTTCCGGTCTAGGATCGAGAGGTTGCCTCGCTTCGTAGTCTCACGGATTAAGATTGAGATGTCAACGATTCAGATAATGCCGCTGGAGTGCGAACAGCGAAGGGTCTTTTCTATCATTCCTTAAAAGTCCTCCGCTTCGTTTGCGTTCCCGTGCGGTCACGTGCACTTGCTCGAGTTGTTCGGAGATACGTCGCGACATACGAGTCGCTGGTGAATCCGCTGTGTCATGATACGACTCAGAGCGACGATTACGTCGATAATCGCGAAAGCACGCGCCGTCGTTGACAAGATCGAAGTGAGCAGAAATCGATGTCGGGAGAAAGCCCCGCGACTGGTTCCTCGCCTCACCTTACGGTGCTTGAGTTCCAAAGAACTTCCACTGTTCAGGGAGGTTCACGTGAACACGGATTCCCCGCACCTCGGCGAGAATAATTAGGCTCTCCTGGGGAGGCCGGAGCGAAACTTTAGGCGCAGAGTGGCCGAAAGGAACGGGAAGCGGAGATGACAAATCTGGGAGCTCCCTCATGACTTCTTCTCTCGATTGCAGGACAAACGCTTCAACGACATTCCGAAACCAAAATACGTTCCTCTGGAGAAGCTGATCGGGAGTCGTGAACACAAGATGCACTCGAATGGTAAGTACATTCGGATCAGACTCCTCACACACTGGACAACGATCTCTGACGGGGTTTTGAGAGGAATGTCCCTCGGATCAATCGAATAATCCAAGGAGAACGGCTCTCCCGAAGCTTGGCTAATGCCTGAGCTACCATCTCCCATGAGCGGCTCGGAGAAGTGTCACGACCACCGCCGTGCTGACTTCGAGCGGTTCTTCTCCCTCTCCTCGATGGTCAGCATCGGCGACCGCTGTCGCGGAGAAAATCTCGGCGCCTACAGCGGAACTCGTTCGCGCTGTGCTCTAACCCAGTTCCTCGTCACCCGCGAGGACCGCTGCTCGCCGACCGACAGCGATAGTGCGTTGCCTGCTACTAATTATGCTGCCGTGATTGCGAGTTGTGCTCGAGAGCTCGTTCGAACCGAGAACTCGAAGAATGTCTTCCATGGAATCGAACCGGGTCCGGGAGCGGAGTCCCGGCAGCGAAAGTTTCTATTCGGCCCGTGAAGAAGACTCGGCATCTCTCGCCTCTCTCTACATGGACGCTTACGATGACTTGACTGCGGACGAGTTCCAAAGTGCGGAGGAATCGGAACGGGAGTCGACCCCTCTCGGACGCGAGAGTTCCGCGGAGTCCACGCCCCGACAAACGCCCGCAAGAGAAATCCGAAGGAACGAGTTGCCGCATCAACTTGAGAAGCGGCACAGCCACGATTATGGCTCGCTGCTCCACAGAGCGGTGGGGGAGCCTTTGATTCTGCAACGGAGCTGTAGCTACATGCGGGACGGTCCCTTCGGAGAACGGCCGATGCAGAGGATCCGTAGCTACAGCTCCGTGGATTATCTCAACGACTCTTACGATCTCAGCCGGCCTGGAAGAAGGCCACCGCCAGATCGTAAACGTCAGAGACAAATCTCTGTCGAGCGGATGGCACAGAAAGAACGCGGTCAGAGTGCGGAACCCGAAGTCCGATCAGAAGTTCGCTTGGCGTTTGAGAGTCCGTTCGACGTTCCGCTGCCCAAAGGCGAGGAGCTGGAGCAACTGAAGAAACGTCTGAGCTCTCTGGCCTCCCAAGGAGATGACACCGAGCTTTTTCATGAGAGAGAAGCGCACGAAACTGGCGCAGCTCAGACGAATGACAGCGGAGCACCCCCAGTTCCCCGACGATCGAGAGCCCGGGATTCGCGTGCCCCGATCCAGAGCGCTGAGATCGGACGGGAATTCCCTCTGGAGGAAGTAATTCGAAACTCGGAATTGAACAAGGATCCGCTCGCCTCGAGCCATGAGCCGGAATCTTCCGAGGTCGTCCCGTGGACGTCGAAGGTTCCCGAGTTTGGGATTGATCCGGCGGAGGAGCTGAAGTCTTCGAGGGAAGTAAACAACCCCGTGAGGCTTCCGACGAGCGAATCGAGCGGGAAGGAGCTCTCGACCGAGGAACGAGTCGATGCTCAAGATGGGGCTGCGCCTCTTGCTGGAGACAATCGCATTCCCATCGGCAATGCTCCCCGCGATTTCCTCGAGGGTGAATGTTTCGAATCATTTGGAGCCAGTTTCCTCGAGATCAAGTCATCCGTCCTCCCGATCGAGACTCAGGCTGAAGCGGTCTTCGTAGTTGAAGAGTTGGCTCCGGATTCCAAGGCACGTGGCAAGGACTCGATCGACGGAACACTCCAAGCTCGAGCTCTCGAATTCACTCACGATGAGTTCTCGGCTTCCCTTGGGCAAACCAGAAGCGAATTCGGAGAGCAGTACTCCGGGTTCCGTAGCGAGATCCGAACAGCTCCACCGAAATTCTCACAATCTATACCGTCTTCCAAAGAGAATAGTTCCTTATATATCAGAGACTCCCGTCCGAAGTTCGCGAGAACCGCCTCATTCGAATCGACGCCCACCTTCGTCCATAAGTCTGTGGGGAGTTTTGATCTGCAGTTCGACTTCGATCGATCCCCCTCGAGGGAATTTTCGCCGCCGCCGCCGTCATCGTATATGCCGTCGCGTCCGAGAAGCAAGCCGCCGGCATCGATGGACGACGGAAATTCATCGAGAGACCCCTTCTCGGGTTTTCCATTCCCCTCATGGGACAGTCCGTCGAAGAGGAAAGAACGAGCGAGATCGCCTCTGAGCGGTCTTCCCCCGCCCGGGAGGAGATCAGTCGTCGCTTCTGCTACGCCCGAAGACATCCCGAAAAGACCGGCGAGAACAAAACGCGGCGCGCGATCAGCAGGCGCGAGTCGACAGCACTCGATTTCGAGAGACGAAACCCGTGACAGCACGAGAGATCTTCACGAGCAAATTCAGAATCTGCTTTCGAGTTTGCAGAAAAAACTGAACAAAAGCAGCCCCCTCGGTCGATCCCCGACGCTCACGGACGACGCGGCGAGGGACGACTCCGACGGGAGGAATTCCATCACGGCGAGCAACTCCTCTCTTTCGTGGAAGCCCACCCGATACTCGTCTATCAGAAGAGAGGCCACGATGGAGAAACTTGAGAATATTCTGAGCACATCTTCCGAATCGAAGAGGAACATTCCGGCGGTATTCGATGCTGAGAGCATCGAGGAGCTCACTACGTATGGACATATCGGAGACTACGGAACTGCTGATAAGAAGGACAGCAAGATTTTCGAAGAGTTCGACAAACATTTCGACCTGATGCTAGAAGCGGACAGTGGGGAAGAGGATGACTTCGTAAAAATCGTGGATGACAATCATGCGGCTCAATCTTTCCGCATGAGCAACGTGAATGGGAACCGACCGAATCCCGTGGAGACAACGTCCGGGATACAGGATTTCGGGAAAACCCCGTTCGGATCGAACAGATCCGTCTCACTTCAAGGCCCCGCGAAGACCAACGAATCGGATAAGCCACCACCTGTTCCGTACAAGCGGAGAGGCTCGCGACTCCGAGCGAAAAGCTCCCCGCAGCAACAAATAATCGAGAAGCAGAATGAGCAGCTCAAGGAACTGCAGAAACATCAAGCGGAACTAGAGGAGAAGATGAGGATGCTTCAGGAACAATTAGAACTCCGGAAGAGCATCGATGATGAGCGAGCCCCATCGCTACCTGTTAAGCGAAGATTCTCGAGATCAATAAGCTGCGTTGAAAGTTTCTACAACGAGATTTCAAGTCAAAGTACGCCGAATCTCCCTGAGCGAGTGATTTTACCGAGTGATGAGGACTTCATCGATTTGCAAGCGAATCTTTTGGGTCAGGGAGATGCCGATTTTTACTATGGCGGCTGCCAATCGAACCTACCGATTCAACCGGGCTTCTTGAATATTCGACCGCAGGATAATTCTCTGCGGCAAGGTAGCCGACATTTGAGTTTTCCCCAGTCTTCGGCGTTTTTTGGAATTTCATTTTTCTCTTGCTTATTTTCGCTTCTTTGTCGTTTGCTCGACTACCACCCTCTGCCCTCCTCCGTCATGGATTTGCTCGAAAGTAATCATTTATGGTCCATTCCAGGCGATCATCGCTCGCCCGCAGAACGAGCGGATACATCGGGCAACCTTCAAATTCCATATGGTAAGTGTGAGATGTACCTGAGAACGCTCCGTCTTCAGTTGGGCGAATAGACCCGAACTCAAACCAGAATGGCCTCTTACCGAAACTCAACTCCGCTTTCCAGACGATTTTGTTTTTGAAGTCGGCTCCCCTGTGGGGGTGATGCTCCCGCCGGATCTACGACTCGGCAGCAACGCTGGCGGCGGTATGGCCTACGGTGTTGTTCGGTGGGCTGGTTACATAAACGATGAGCCGATGCTTGGCCTGGAAATGGATGAAGACGCTTTCAACGGGGGCTATCTGAACGACGTCTTCTACTTCGAATGCGAGCCCGGGAAAGGTTTTTTCGCGAGACCGGAACAATGTGTTCCGGACGAACGGATTCAGCAAATGACGCTCATGGACGAGAGTCCCCACGACGACCACGCTCTTGTGAGTATCTACTCCGAACCTTCGGGTGGAACGCCGGGAGGTGCTCAGAATCACCTACCCGATTATTCTCTTTCGATCGAAGATTCCTTCGAAGGGGAAGAACGATTTTTTCGAGAACAATTTTCTCTTCCGCTGCAGACCGTTGCTCACGACTCGCTCCCAGGCGATTTCCCACCATTGTTCAATGTGGTTAACAGTAAAGATCTCTCGTTGTTGGTTGGCCGATGCAAAGGAATACAGGTGAATAAGGGGCACGGACACGATGGAAATGAGAACGACAGAGAATTCTCCTCGGGAATCCTGGGACCACTATCTAATCTCCGTATGCTCTTGTCGCTAGGGTCATCATAATTCTTGTTACCTCGATGCGACGCTTTTCGCGATGTTCACCACAACCTCCGTGTTCGATTTTATATTGGATCGCCCTAGGGAAGAAGGAGACATTCCAGAATACGAAGAAGTGACAAGGGTGGGTGTGCGAAGGAACACACGGCGTCCTCGTTCCTCTGAAGAGATGCTTTCGATCATCCCTGAGAGTAATTCCGATTTCCTATCGCAGGTGCTAAAAGAAGATATAGTGAACTCGTTACGTGTGCATCGTTTCGTCGGCGCTGCTCAGGTGATGAAACTCCGGGAGCTCCTCGACAAGTTGGGCTCGGTATCGGGCCTGACATGCGAGGAGAAGGATCCTGAAGAGTTCCTGAATTGTCTCACACAGATGCTCCAGGTGAGAGATGAGGGAAAGTCCCCGTCTCCCTACGAGATGCTTATCGCCACTTCTCAGCGCGTTCATGCGCCGTATGGAGGGCTCTCTCAGAATCTAAGAAAGGCTCCCGCTGCCGCAGGTCGAACCGTTCCTCCATCTGAGCTCGGGACAGTCAGCTCATCTGTATCAAATGTTCGTGGAAAAAGATGAAGACCTTGGCTTGCCATGGTTCCAGCAAATCCTAGAACAGAGCTTCTTCCAGCAAGAATTGAAACTTCAACAGATGCCTTCGGTGTTTATAGTCCAAATGCCACGGTTCGGGAGACAATTTAAGGTGAGTGCCGCGGCCCATCTCGATCCGGATCCCCAACAAAGGTGAAATCGATAGACCCTTGCCATAAATGCAATTCCTCGTTGAAGGTGTACCCACGAGTATTGCCGAGCTTCCAGCTCGACATGACAGATCTTCTGATGAACTCCCCGCGTCCTTGTCATATATGTGCGAGCCTTGCACATCTTGAATGCATCAGCTGCTACCAACAAACAAAATCCATAGAGAAGAGCACTTTCTGTGATGCTTGCTATAACAGGTGCGGAAATTCCTCGAGATAGATTCCAGTCAGCGTTCCTGGAATCGGAGCCAGCCATCATATCGAACGTGCGTTATAAAGAACTTCTGATCCCCTAGGAAACATCTCCGCCTCTCGAGTCATCAGGCGAGTTCGAAGCGACTCACGGTCTCAGCCGGATTCCAGGACTTTTCTTCAACGAAACACCTACCGCGACAAACCATGGAGCTTTTCGCTCTTTTGTGCATCGAAACAAGCCATTATGTTGCTTTTGTTAAGTGTGGTCAACAGTCCAACAGTCCTTGGGTTTTCTTCGACTCGATGGCCGACAGACAAGGTTAGCCGTCTCAAGGCCATGAGAAGCAGATATTCCCCGATGAGATTGGGAATTCCATTCAGCGGATCGGGATATGGCATTCTAAATTCTCAATATTTCCTTTCTAGGGCAGAACAATATCCCTGAAGTAGTCAATTGCGACGAAATCTATGAGTGGCTGCACCCGGAGAAGTTAGTCGCGCATCCGGACGACCGGAGCCTCCCACCTCTAGTGAAGAAGATCGTATCCGACGCCTACATGTGTTTCTATCGGAGCAACTCCGTGGCGATGTACAACTGAGCTCCTATTGAGCATCAGAGGCTGTCTCCCAATCAAGGGGCATGCCATGTTGGGGATTGGTCTCCAGCCCACGCCGACGCGAGCGACCCGGAGTAAAGACACACCGGGAGCACTCTCGAGCCCGCAATACCGGAGTGCTACCACTGCTCGTAATGATGTTCGGGAAAGGCCATGACTACATCATGCAGGCAACGCCGAGCAAAACTCCGAGCACGCGCTCCAAGGTCCCAGGGAGAGGCATCGGAATCCATGAAGTGATGAAGTTTTTTATGATTTCCAACTATTGTATGTAATCCTGGTTCGGGAGCGTTACCATCCGTGCTATTGCTCAGCCCTCCGCGAGAAATAAAAGGAGTCCGATGAGGCATCACAAGTCATGATGGATTTGTTGTTGACTCAGTCAGAGTTAAATCAGTGCTCGAAGCTACACACTCAAAGCCCGGGGAATTTCCGAACCCACGGTTTACAAGCGTGTTCGAGCGGATCTCTCATGCGCCAGGTCACAACGAGGGTGCGTTCGGTGAACGCTGAGTCGAGCTATCGGAGTCGAAAGAAACAACGGCCGTCCAAGCGGCTTTTCGAGAACTGTGGCGGAGAATCCCCGCCGTCGCTCTTCACCGAAGAGTTCCTTGCAGGGGAATGCCTCGCTGATTCACAGCTCCCTCAGAAGATTTTCTCAGCGAAGCGAGCCTCGATTCACAGTCAAGGAATCGGGAAAGATCGCGTCCCTGATTCGGAATCAGAGTCTCCCGGCCATCAGCCGGGAAGTACCCACTCGAATCCACAGAGACCTCATCGTATCGGAAGATTCGGGAGCCGCGTTTCCTATACCGGAGGGTCATCCATGCTCCGTAGATCCACCATTCGGAGATCTTAATGTTCGGAACGCGAAACACTTGGTGGAAACTGAGATAGCACGACTTAAAACTCCCCAAGTGTACTCTGCGAGAAAGAAAGCAGATATTGTAGTGCTTATCGTTATATCGTACGACAGTCGGAGGATTAATATGCCCAGCGACACCATACTGATCCTTCGGTCCGGACCCCACCCACCACCAGGGTCTTGTCCTACCAGAGTCATGAAAGCTGCGAACCACATTCCGGGCCGCCTGGTAGCGGACCTGTGTCTGCGGCGGCCTGTTCGAGACGAGTTTCGCACGTGTCCGAGTATCGCCGCGCGAATGTCCACCTCGACCTGTGCGTGTAAGATCCTTCAATTTGGACGATGATGAAAATCGGCTTCCTCAACCAGCTATGCGATGAGCATCAGGCAGGGCTGAGCATGGAGAGCCGTTCCCAAGAATATCGCGGAATTCGGATGCGTCGAGACGGGATGACTCATCAGTCATCAGATCACACCGGTCGGAAGGTCTGATTGAGCAGATCTGCTGGATGAGCATACAGACAGTCAATTGAATGACTCACGAGGGGAATGGTCGTGAAACAGTAATAACAATCTGATCGAAGGAAGGCTCCTGGGACTCCTGGGGGAACTCGGATGAGTCGGAACGGCAGGATCGGGCACCTCCCGTCGCGATTCGCATCTTGAATCGTGCCTAGCGTCTAGGTCGATGGCGACCGGCGCTTGGTTCCAATTTGCAATCCATGACGGCGACGCGAATCGCGGATCAACTTAAAAACGAAATCTAGGCCAAGAGCGACTCATCGCCTTGCCACCTCGGCCTGAGCATCTCGTACATGACGTCCATAAGCCTCCAACAACATTATTTGGATCCTCTCGCCCCTGAACTCAGTCGGAGAAACTCTGATCTTATAATAATCGAATTCGTCTTCGAACATCATCATGAATATCGACGATAGGTCGAGCATTCGAGCAGGACCCCCTTTACACTCACAGCCATGGATGGCGCCGCAGGCGATCAGCTTTTGGAGTATTCGAAACTTCGTCGTCTTTCCAAAGCAATGAGCCGGTGACGGCTTTCTCGTTCGGCCCCCGAAACGGCCGTGGCCCCAAGGGACCGCGGCCACGACGGATTGAACGGGTTCGCGGCCTCTGCTCGGTCGCCGTTGATCCTCAACTTTTCTGTCTGCCTTTACTACCTAAGTTATTAATTTCGGTGTTCATGGAAGAACTTCGAGAGAGTGAGTCCGATCCTTTCTCGAGACTCTGCAGCGAGAGCTCACAGGACCCTTGTGACAATTGATGAGGAAATCGTATGCCCTAGGTCCACCTCGATTCTTTTCTTCCATCTTGACACAACTTAGGTCAACCGCTCATTAGACACGGAAACCGCATCGCGGGGTCAGTGAGAGACTCCCCAAGTCATGCCCAATGCGATAGTTTAGCAACTCCCTCCAGCAGGACTGTGTGCGATACCGGCAAGACCCGAGGAGTTCCCGAGCAGAACTCGATCTGAAGGTCGGCGATCCGCCTGTTCGGCGCGGAGAACGTTCGAGGATCGCTCCCGTTGGAAGTTCGGCGAAGCACTCGCAATCGGCGATCCGAATATAGGGCGTGTCATTCGAGAATTCGCTCTCTTTACGGAGGTCTGTTTTAGAAGCCGATACCGATACATGGTGCTATCGAATAACCGCTGAGCCGCTACGCACGCCGCTCGATTTGTTCGAAAAGTAGCGCGCGTGTCGTGTCGGAAGCGTCAGTACAGTGTGCGGTTGGTTCTCCGAAAGGTTGATATAACTTAGCAGTCTGATTTGATCTGATGTTGGAGCTCGCCAGTTTCCGCCGAAGTGCTCTCAACAGTTGAATTCTTCGTGTGCGCTTCTTCCGAGCGCGACCCTTCGAAATCTTGCGACTCGATGAGTCGAGCCGAGTGAGTTTTTTCCAGAAATAATTCAAGGCCGGTAGACAAGAGTTCGGTGGGACAAGCGAGCGATCTCAACGGCTCCCAAGGTTTTCAAATTCGGAGCGGTGCGTTTTCTAAAGACCTCTCCTCGAGAAATGTGCCTTCCTCGTTCTCTCATCGCGGGACTCGGAACGGACCAGTGGTGAACGCGGCAACCATCTTGTTGTCCTTTGACATGCATATTTGTACGTGAAGTTTCGCCATCGCTCGTCATGCAAAGTGCTCTCCTACCCACGCCTCGCCGGTTGGGCATCGGCATCGGCAGAGGTTCACGGGTGCGGATGACACCGCAGCCCTCTACGGAAACGTTAGGATCCAAGGAAATCCGGGATATTCCGACCATTGCTGCCCCCATCGACAGCTTCGATCTGCACAGAGCTCCCACAGCGGATTTGCGACGCGTTCTCCCTCCATCGGCTCCGAAGAATGTGACTGAACCGGAACGTGCGCCCAAAATGGTTCCGTCGGTTCCATCTAATTCCAGTGAAACGATGTATCTTGTTTCTTCGAAGCTCCCTGACGGTGATCCTCGAATCGTGGGCAAACTCAGCGGGCTCCTCATCACCGCTCCTGGACCGCAAGGAGCTCGCGTTTCGCAGAACCCAGCTCTTCGCCTCGGCCCAGAGGGGCAGAGCGCGGCCGAGGATACATTTCCTAGAATTAATGGAGAAGCTCGGAAAGGTGAAGGAGCTCCGCAGGGAATCACCAATGCGAGAGACATCGAGATGCAACTAAAGGAATATATGACGGCTCACGCGAAATCAGCCCAAGATCTGTCAAGCCACGTCGCGCAGAACGACCGAGAGATCAGAAAAGCGGCTTGGGCGAGATTTCTGAAGCCTGCGCTTCTGAAAGCTCAAGCCGACAGGAGGAACGAGCCAGCGAAGCAATCGGCAAGCAGAACGCAAGCGGAGGATCTCATCAGAAATGCTTCGCCAACCCGACCGGGTCTCGATGTTCCGGTGTTGAGCAATGGACAAGTCGACCAAGAGGTGAAAGGAATTCCCGGCGGGAGTGCCCATGATGATTCATGTGCTCCTCCGATCTCGAGTCGAGTTGTCCCTCGGACTCCACATTCTATCCCATCAATGCCGTCAGAGGTGCCGAAGCCTCTGAAGGTCGCACCTCCGCCTCAGACGGCGCGGAGTCCGGTGAAGGTCACACCTCCGCCTCAGACGGCGCGGAGTCCGGTGAAGGTCGCGCCTCTGCCCGCAATGACGGGGTCGAATGCGAGAACAACCTCAGATGGTGCGTCCGGGAATCAATCGAAGGAATACGACTTCATGAGAGCGATCAGAACGCTGAATAATAGGAACATCATGCCGCCGGGGCAGGAGTGTATCAGGAAAAAACGTCGTTATGCCATCGGGGAATGGAAATCGTTCCTCGTTACCAACTTCTGCCCACATCACGAGGTGAGTGAATACCCTCTTCGGTTTTCGGCAGCCGATATTCCCCCCCCCCTTCCCAATCAACCGAGAGAGTCTTCCGCAGGCACAGGATTCCTTTGTGGTGTGGATAAGCGAGAGCGAAGTCGATCCAGAGCTTCAAAAGCAGCTCAAGCTCATAGATCCCCGGTTCGTGGTCCCCCTCGAATCACCGATGTTGGGAGGGGCGGCATTGATCAATCATGGTGGAAAATATCGACGGTGAGCATTGAAGCGCTTACTATGGGAAACCTCAATCATCATAACATGAACTTGAATCCCTCCATCAGTCTGAGTGAGTTTTGTTTATTTTTCAGAGTGACGATCAAAGAAACGAGATACAGAGAAGCAACAGTTCAAGACGTCGACACTGGCGACGAGATCGAAGTCAGTTCAGCAGATTTGTGTTCCCTGCCCCTTGTATTGAAGTCCATACCACCGCTCGCCTTGAAGTACGAAGACTCCCGGTTTACCAAATACGACGACTTGCCGAGAATATATCCGGCGAAAAATATTTCGGAAGGGATCAGCATCACTGAAAAGTCCCCTCATTACAGAGTCGTCGTCGAGTCGGGTCGGATTACGAATGCCAAGCGCTTCGAATCGGCTCTGCGGCTGGCAAAAGAGCATCGAACAATCACAGACGGCTGTGCTGTCACTTGGGATTTCGTTCCGAAATTCGTTTTCCGGCTACCGGGATGTAGAGCTCTCGGAGTCAGCAAAAACCTGAGTATGTAGAAATGCGGGTCTTTCATCTCGCCCGCGATTCCCCATCTACCGTCGACCTACCTGTAGTTCTACCTGCAACGATCTAACCGGAAAATTCCTTCCCGGAAGTCTCCTTACCATGGAATAAAGGTGTTCGGAGCGATCCCTTGTCCGAGCAAAAGCTCTACGACGATCTACCGGCTGCTCGACTCCCGAGGGCGGGAAGCTTAGTGAGGAATTGTTTCGTGACACACGTCGAAGGTTCCTCGGTTTACCTCACTTGGGAAGCGTTGCACAACTACGAGTATCAGCCCCAAGCCGAGGATATTCCCCTGGAGTTCGAAGTCGGGAAACTCTGTAAGCTCCTCTGGCAAACCGAACCTTGGACCGAGATGAGGTGAGAATGCTATCCTCTATCGTCAATTCATGCATAGGAAGCGCCTATAGACGAGAGTCCCGTGACGAGACGGTGCTCTCGCTCTCCACCGTCCAACCCCGTCCCGCTCAATGCATGTTGCATCGAAATTTGCAGGGGATGCATCGAAGTAGTCGAAGATGATGTCGTGTCGATTCGATGGATAGATTGCGGATCTGTCGTGGATGTCTCGAAGGAATGCCTTCACGCCATGTCGGCGGCCGATGTATATTCGCCCTTGACCGTCAAGGCGAAGCTGGCGAACTTCAACGCCGAAGAACTGGAGTATGCGGATTCTGATCTATCTCAAGTTCTCAGCTCAATGAAGAATCTGCATATTTTTGTACTCGACTCGAACCCTGTGCCTGCGGTCCTAATTTTCACGGAGGACTTCACCGAGGTCAAACTCGAGAATTTGGAAGGTCTGAAAGCTCTCAGCCAGGAAGGTGAGTGCAGTGCCTCTGGGACGCAGAGACTATTTCGGTAGACAAACTATTCCGTCAGTCATCCAGGTGTCCCTTTGATGAACCGATCAACTTCTTGCAGGAGATCCGATCGCCCCCATGGAGCCCGAAGCTGAGGCACACGTTGAAGGTGAGGGTTCTTTCATATGGCTCGAGTACGCCCAGGTTCGCCATCAGATGGACGTTCTTCCGTCGGACTGTCAAGCGTCTACTACTCTCTAAGCTCCAATTCTAATCCCAATCAGAAGTCACCGTGGTCGGAATCGCTGCGTTCGCCCAGATCTGGGTTGTTCCCAAGGAGAAAGTTCGAGAGCTGGAAGAAATGGAGGCCAGACTGACGAGAGCGAATCCTCCGCCGCTAGTCAATTGTAGTCGGGATACTGCGTGTTCGGTGATGCTTGATGGACTCTTGCGCCGAGCCTCGTTACGTCTTCGCGCAGGACGGCGCTTCTTACTTCGTCTCTTAGATAGAGCGTCTGAAATCAGTGCCTATGAAGTGTTCGAGCTACCGGAAGAATTCCGTGATCTACCTTCCCCGAGCTACCGGTAAGCTTCAGGCTTGGATTCCCCGCCAAGGGCGAAGCCATTACTCGATGCGTTCTGCGAGGTCTCGCAAGATGATGGCGCGTCCCGTCACGTGGACGGGCCTCCGACTTGACTAATACGCTAACTCTGCCGTCTAAAAGCATCCTCACCGCTTTCAGCATCGCTCTCTGTCCCGAGCAAGTCAAGGAAGCTCACTTCGGGCGCTTCATAGCAGCGCTTAAGAGAAATCCCGAAGTTACGTTAAAACGCATCCCAGTGGAATCTGCGACGGTGAACGGTACAGAGAGTTCGTCGTCCCCAGAGGTCCCCTCATGCTTCATCCAAACAACCTGTGGTCAGGATATAATTTCAGCGTATGATTTACGCGACGAGCCCCTATAGAATTTGTCTTCGTTAATTCGATCGGAGTATACTCGCGGTAGACCACCGAAAAAACGATGGTTGCCGGATTGTTGTAGATGTATAACCTGAGAGTCCTAGAGGTCTTGTTACTGGCCCGATTCTGCGTTCTAGGTATAATAACTGTGAAATAAATATCTGAGGTGCTCCAATTATCCAAACCCCACTCCAGTTCGGGAGCTCGGCTTCGGAGAAGATCTGTGAGGCGAAACCTGTACGGAAATGCTCATTTCAGTCGAGATTCTCTCTGCCTCCGTTAAGTGTTGAGCAGGCTTCGAGCCATACATACTTCGCCTTTACCACGGATCAGCTCCATGTTCGGATTATCCCCAGTGGGGCTCGTCTGTCCCCTCCTGATCGCCAATGATAATCACGATATTACCCCTCGAGATCTTCATCTGTACGGGGAACTTGCAGCGGAGATCCTGGGGCGTCTCCTTATTCAGGATTCCGCTACCGGCAATACGCTCGTTTCTTCTTGAATCAACCTTGCCTCGTTTGCCTTCACCCAGACTCGAGAGCAAACGTAAGTGCGGGAAACCCTGAACGGGGGAGAGAACGCTACTATAAGAAGAAAGAGAAAGCCTCTTATCGACACGCCGTTCGTTCTTTATTACCCCATTTTTCCTCTCAAAGCTACAGCTGAATCCGGTTTACGGGCATCACATGGAGGACATCGAGTCCGATACCCAACAATTGTGCTACGATTTTTCTGTACAGAATCACAGTCTTTTTCGATAAATCTCCCTCGTCACTGTCAGTCACGATATCATGAGGGCTTCCTAATGAACGACCTTCGGAGATGTCACTGCGTACGCAGAGCCGACTTCCCCAGCTGGTGGAGTTTTCAGATCTCCCATGGAACCGCCCATTCTCACCTTCCATCGGAGCGATTCCATTTACAATTCAAGAAAAAAATATCCGGTTGAGGACGGCCTTCACAGCTGACTCGAGCCACAACTCCGACTAGGGATCGACCCTCAAAGAATGCAGGTGCTGTTTTCATCATCGTCAGACGGCAGAGATGACTCATCGCTGGACGACTCTCTCCCGACCATCCCCGGACCTTTAAAGCTCCATCTACGCGTTCTGCTCTTTTGTGCCGAAGAAGCAACGACAACACATCTACCGAGAAGGAACGCGTCCTCCTCCGCCCACGAACCCTAGCTCGTCGAAATCAGCGAATCTGAAAGGGAAATGTTTGCAAATCTCAGAGATTTGATCATCCTGTACGCGATTCGTCTTTGGAACAGAGCGAATTGATCTGGCTCCTCCCCAGACGAGGACGGTCAAACTTTCGACCTGTCTGCAGACAGCCGCGTGATGTGGGAAGATTGCGGGCACCGACGTTCCCGTGGATAGGTTTATTGAACTTATTCACTTAGTCCAGGACAGATAATAATGAGTTGTATTTCGAAGCGTCAACCTACCAAACCGTGCTCGGAGGGAATCCAGGCACAGAAGAAGCGCTTTAACTGAAGTCAGCTTGCATGCAGTGGAGAGAAAAAATACCGAGCGGGGATGAAATCTCCGGCAGACTAGCAGCTTTAGGTTGATGATTCATTTTGACTAGCATTCCGATCTTTAACTCCAGGTAAATCGCCAATCCTCTCTGTGGATCGGAAGCGCATGAGAGATCGTTCGGCAAGACATAGGCGAGCACTCGGAGAGGAACACGTAAGGGGAAACATTCACACCGACACGAGACCACGCACGGGAAACTGTGGGAGACCAGCAGCGTCTCGTTGGGTGAAATGTCGCAATCGAAGCGCGCGGATGCGATCCGGCCCCACCTCAGGACCCTCAATTCCGAAGAACTCTCTAGATAGATTCAATATCTCGGGAAAGCTGTCTCCCCTGTTCCCTCTTGCACTTCTGTGTTCGTGATTGAAGTCATACAGGTATGTTTCGGGCCGTGAATGAAGCAACTATTTTTAGTCGCTTACCCTCCTTCGTTCGAAAGCAGCGCCACTGAATCTGCGAAAAGTAATGATTGTTGTCAAGGCCGCGGAAGACGGGAGGACATCACAGAAGCTTCGGTGTCGAGACGCTCCCACGTGAAGGCCCAGCAACCGCATTCAGCCGGATTCCAAAAACGTAACGACGTGTTGACGTGATTTCACAGTGACTTTGCGGACGCTCGCAGAACGATGGTGACATTTAAACATATGATGCGAGTATTATCAGATATCGCTACGGAGATCCCCTCCAGGAAGACATTGGCCAGGTCCATCATCATGAACCTTCGGAGGCCTTCGTTTGTTGATCTTGCACCCCACGGCGACGAGGAATATCTCTCGCATTCGAGAAGTTTTCCTCAGCTCCTGAAGGCTCATCCGTACTGACTGAATGAGAGGAGTCCACGTGCCGACGGAGCACCTGTGCCAGAGACATCTGACTCGGTTGTCCAGCTGTTTCCGTCACGAAGAACAGGATTCGAGTTTTTAGAACAGACTTGGTGGCTTCACGGGATCAGAGTCTGGATATTCTGTGCAGAGGAGTTCAGTCACCCCGGAAGCCCATCAATTAAGGTTCCATCAGATCTTCCTTCCACCCCATGCGATTATTTCTCATGCTCCCGCGATCGGATTTGTAGAGCTGTGACTCCGCTTGCCGAAGTCGCACCACCTACACACCGAATCTCCCTCATGGGGAAAACGGGGAAAATCATGGGGAAACATGCCGTGCTCCCGAACATATCGGAATAAGGAAACTCGCTGAGCGCATGCCTATATTCTTTGTGCCTCTTTGACGGATGCAAAGGAACATGGGAGACGAGGGAGGGAGCTCGCCGTGAACACTTAGGGTTATGATTCCCTGAAACATTCGGTCAATTCTGTTCGAAACTTCACTTTCATGTGAGCTTACCCGAATCCAGGGTGTCGTCACTGTTCGAGTAGAGACTCGCTTGATCGAAATCTTTCAATTTTAGGTGCGGACCAATAACCTGCAAGGAGATGGAGACATAAGCATGAACAGCAATCGATTCCGACGTACTCCTCTGGAATTTTCCGATCGGTCCCCCAATAAAAAACGATCCAGCCAGGGGGCCCGGCTCGTCTCGGCGTTTCCTCTCCGCGGAATCGCTCACCGGGAGATTGATGAGGTTCGTCCAGCCGAAAATGACGAGAAGGCAACCGACGAGGTAGGCGATGAAACCAAGATACGATACAGCGAATACGCCCGCGAGGATATAGATCGCCACGTGATTCGGCAGATTGTCATTGACGAATTGGAACACGAAGTAAAGATTTATGCCAATCACCACACACGAGAGAATCGAGGCAAACGATTTGGTCCACCTGGAAGGACGATACTCTCAGCTGGAGGCATCTTTCAAGAATCGCGCGGCATCCGCTCCATATACTCGAACGATGCCCGGAACCTGTGGTCCCGAAAAATTATTATGATCGACCGACGAGCGGTCGTCAGGAAGGATTTGAACTCAGAGCTCCGAGCCCACCTTCCGCTTTTGAAGTCTCCCATGATGTTGTCCGAGCAGACGAATGTGAGACACGGAATCAACGCGAAGGGCAGCTGCAGCGACATCAGAGCATTCAGGGAGTCATTCATTCCCGATAGCTGTTTCAATGTTCCGACCTGTAGAGGTGGAGTAAAGACTTCAGCCCCGGTAAGGGAATAGCAAACGTCGAGGACCCGTTGTCGCATCGGGAGATCGGGAGCGAGTCGAATTTTCCCACGTACCGATGAAACTAGGAGTGTTGGTCCGATGGCTATCGTTCGAGTGATGAGAACCCTCATCCACCGCTTGATGTTCAAGTTGAGGAAACCCTGACGAGCAGAGATCGTAAGGTTAAGCAAGAGAATTCGTGGCGCAGTTTTACTGGTCCATCGGGGAGGAATATTCCCCAGGGCCACCGAGCATCAGGCTCCCTCAATAGTCACCTCCATGATGAATTGGCCGGCATAGGTCCCGGTCATCGTCGAACTTTGACCCGCGGCTAGGATTCCTATGGCCCAGATGATCAGAGGTGTGAGCCCGAAGCGACAACCCAGGAAAATTCCAGCATTGTAGAGACTGGCCTCTACTGGCTCTTGGTTGTCATCGAAGACATCGGTGTGAATATAGGGAATTGTCGAATTCAGGCACATGTCGTGCTGGAAGAAAAGAGGCGTATCGTCCAAGTGCACTCCGGAACTATGGAATATGATTCTGATTGACTGGGAAGTTCCCTCGTTTGAAACTCACGATATCGTGGTTGGTTCGCCCGTATAAACCCGTCGCGAAGACTGCCATGACGAAAATATTAATGATCAGTGAAACGAGGAGAGCGATGGCGGACTCGATGAAGTAGTACTTGTTCGCTTCAGAGATATTTCGCCGATCACGTCTGTTGATGCTCCGCGACTTGACAAGCGCCGAATGTAAGTAAAGGTTGTGAGGCATGATCACAGCGCCGATTATTCCTGTTTTGAGCAATTCAGATCAGTCAGAGTTCGAGTCTTGAATAGGTAATCCTATAAGATGAGACACGGCGTCCCGCGAAGTCCCGACACCTATGAGGGTATGCTGATTCGGGTCCCCGTGTCTGGAGAGTGCTCGTCACGGAACTCACCAACGGCTTGTTTGAGCTGATTGTAACCGCAGTCTTCGCACCAAGGGAGGAATAGCCCTTTAACGACTTCACCCTGAGGCGGGGCTATCTTGACGTACTCGTAGCCAAACGTCAAGGCCATGACCGTTATCAAAAAAGCGAAGAACGCTTCCAACTTCCTCAAACCGTATTTATCCAACAACAAGAAAGTGAAAGTGTCGCAAATCGTGATGATCACGCCCCAAGACACAGAAATCCTGAAAAGGAGACAGGAATGGATCCGTTCGATGGATGACGAATTAGGACCGGCCCGAGCAGGACAGATATCGCGTTCAGTTTTCCGGGGGGACGAATCACCCCTATCTCCTACGATGGATATTCGGCTGTTACTCACATTCCATTGGTCAATAGATAAAGCGCAATCGACGTTCCGATGACTTCCTGCATATCACTCCCCACGACAGCGATCTCCACCAGTACCCATAACAGAAATCGGGGCGCTCGTGGATAACTGACGGAATTCGGATAGGAATTTTCATTCGATCAACACCCAATCCTCTGGTTCTACACGCATACGAGTAATTCGAGTTCAGATGGATGTTGCTTGCTAACTTGATGCTTTTTGCTCATACGGACACTACCGCCGTGCCTTACCTTATGCGACATAGTTCTGCGAGATGATGACCCGTCACAGCACCTAAGCGAGCGGACAACCGTTGCATGACTAGACCGAAGGCGGTCGCCGTGAAAAGCAGCCACAACAACTGCGTGAATGAGCGACAGATCGTCAGGAAAATGAAACGTGGTATCGGCACCCCGAACCCCGACCCAGTCTTCGGATGGAATTTCGAAGCTGTGAAGACTCCGCGGATCGATGGTAGCTTACTTTGTAGCTAGCGGTCGCCCCAGACTGGAGGTCTGATTCGATGTTTCCCGGATCCAAGTAGGCGATCGACATGAGGAACCCCGGTCCCGTGAACGCCCATAGCTTCCTCCAGCTGAAGACTTCCTGTAAGGCATTCCCAGGATGACTTGCGTTTCGACGAGAGAAATGTGTAAATCTCATGGGAACATCGAAAGACGAGGCACTTGACCGTCAAAAAATAATATCACTCACGTATGTGTCGGTGACCGGAACTGAGATTTTTTGATTGAAGTAATAGTCCTCGCTCTGATTCTCTTTACCATTCTCGTGCCGCCGCTCATTCCGCTCCTCCACGACGTCGTCCGGACTCGAAAGCTGTTGGGTTGTTTCCGAAGAGCTCATGATGATGTTTGAAGCCCTACCGGGGCCAACCTGATCGAGGAGATCTCATCTTAGCATTATCATCGCGAGCACGGGAGGCAAAAACCGCATCTTACGAGATAGTCCTGTCGTAGATGAACAACCGATAAGATGTGAAAATACATATATATCATTGTGTGGCGCTCGTTGGAGCAGCACTCGCGGTCACTGAACTGCCAGTTGTATTTTCGGGAAGATGATTCCCCCGTGACGAATCGTGACTTGCAAAGAACTCGCACCGCAGACTTTCTGCTCTCACAATGCAGCTCCCTACAGTCGATGGCATTCGGGATTCCGGGATTCGGACTCACTGATTCAACTGGGGGCTCGTCTGGTCGACTTGATAAGCGAGAACGAGATCTGCTTGGCTCCGCTTGTGTGAAACAAGTGAAAAGCTGACCATTTAGCTCCGGATCAAGGGTCTCGGGAACCTACCTCGCGAACCCTAGTTTCGGTGCTTTTCACGCGGGGCGCCTGTGACAAGGATTGAAGAGAAGCTAGCTCGGGTAGCGACTTATAGAGAGTCCTCGAATTTCTCACTCAGTTGTGGATTAGGCGCCGCGTTCACATCACGTACGCCGGCCAAGCCTGTCTCTAATCTCTTCCGTAGGAGCGATCAACTATCATCAGTAAGTCCATTACACAGGAATTCGAGGAGGTCTCAAAACGCATCGCATCCGCAAAAATTGTGCTCGGTCACGTCTCGCGATTGTAGACTGTCGTGACTTATGAACTCATTTTCTCAGACGCTCCCGCGAGGAGCTCAAGGGGAGGATATGGTAACGTCCATGACTGGATCTGAATCCTTCCGGGACAAGCTGAAATTTTGGAACTCGACATCGATACCAAGACCAGGTGAGACGAGCAAAACCATATCAACAAGCCATACGGAGAGACCGAACACGTTATCCGATGCGGCCAGATGTTCCACAGCGACGACGGCCGGTGAGCACAGAAGGAGTTCACAATTATTATTGCTACGCTCCACTAACTCATTCACATAGACCGTGACGCTCATCAAGAAGGCTGCATAAGGAATTGATTGGGGTAACTTGATTTTCTTATCGCAGGCGTCGAAGGACGATTGGGGTTCTCAGAATGATAGCGAGCGCAAAGACAGCCTCCCAGGAGAGCGGATCGGTTTTTGGCCTTCTCAAAACTTTAGAATTGGATCAATCAGCTGTCTAAACGAATTCCTACCCTCGTCGATCTCAGTTCATTCCCAGCTGATCGGGCAGGCTGACTGAATTGATCGACTTTCTGGTGGGCCTATTCTGACGGGAACAGATGGCTCTCCGAGATATCGACAGGGTCTCATTAGCTGTATCTTTATGGCGCCCGGGCGAGTTTCGATTGGCAGAGAAAACCCGCGCGGATGAGTATCCACGAAACTCGGTTGTCGGCTTGTAGAATTTGGTTCCGTGTCTTTTTTTAGACTCGCCTCCGAATTGAGAGGCGAGAATGACACGGACGTTCTCTTCTAGGATTGAATCTCTGTCCAATTGGAGTCTGACAAGGCCAACTGATACACGGGACGGATACCTTTGACGCAGGGGTTTTGACACGCAGTCAAATCCGTTCCGTCCGCTAGCCCGGAGCTCGTCTATTCGGAAGTCATCACACTCCCTTGTGGACCGGTCACTGGATGCAATGAATGGTCTGCAGAGAATCAGAGCGAAATTTCTCTACCCCGACGGTGTGCGGAAACACCACAGCAGCACACACACTGTGCTTTCAATGTCTCTGATGATGATGACTGGTTCTCCTCTCCGTTTTCGCTCTTCGCTCTTGTTGCGGACGACGAGCTCCTTGATGCCGCCGCGGCGGCGGCGATGACCGACAGCTAGCAGACTCCGTCCGCGACAATGATCGAGATCCGGTGGAAACCTCCAGTTTTGGGGATCCCCATCATGACAATCGTATCTTGACCGATGATCCACACCGCAAGGACCTATTCTTTCTCCGTACCCGTGATTTGAGTCGAAAATCCCGGAGTCGGGATCACTCGACGGCCCTCGGATTTGGCCCGCCCGGTCTCGATCCAGCTACCTGACGATAGGCGATCGACGATGAACGACCATGATACTCCCCGCGCAGAGCACAGCGAAATGGGAACAGCGCCCGGGTTCCCCCCATCGTGAGAATTCGTAACGCGTTCGGATCCACTGGGCTAAGCCACGTTGCGACGTCCTGATTTTGAATTTACCGCCAGAGATCGCTGCGCCCAATGAAGACCCGCCTCCTTGGTTGAGTTGTTGTTGTTCTGGTGCACGATCAACACACACATTGATCCGGCGGCGTCGTGAGATCCGACCAGCATTTCGCGAAGGCGTATTCTTCTTGAGATACGTTAAAAAAAATCGTATCCTTCCCGTATCGACTGCGCTCGGTGTTCCCGCGTATCCCTACAGAATGACCGTCGATAAACGCGACTCTTCGGTGGAGTCGAAGGACAACGAACGGAAAAGCCGCGAGAAGACCAAAAACCGGCGGTGAGTCGCTACGGACAGGAATGATCGAGCTCTTCTACACGCCGGAGGGTTGACGTTGCTGGCGCGGAGTTTTTCCATATATCGAGTGGTTATTGTTGCTCTGATTTCGACTCGAGCTCGTGGGTGGGAGATCTCCTTGTCGTGAAATGATGTTTGCGACATGGGCAGCACAGCTCTTTCTTCGGGAGACACGGTAGTGGTCGCGGTGGGGGCGCAGATGAACCAGTAGCTGATCCGCGAAATTCTCTCCACAGATCGTCCTCGTCGTCCTCTTCGTCATCTTCAGATTCCAGTTCGTCGTCGAGCTCGTCGAATAGCTCTTCGAGCTCAAGTTCATCGAGCTCCTCGAGTTCGGCTACGTCTAAAAGTCCGTCCCGTAGCCCGAAGAAAGCCGCTGCTTCTCGCGGCGGGGGAAGCGGCCGGCGATCCCCTTCGAGATCGCGCAGTCCGAGGAAAGATCGATCTCGCTCTCGATCGCCACGTCGTCGTTCACGGTCTCCCAAGCGCCGGAGCAAAAGTCATAGCTTGAGTCCTCTGAGATCTCAGAAAGTTCACGTGGGAAGACTTACCAGAAATGTCACCAAAGACCACATAAAAGAAATCTTCTCACATTTCGGTAAGAACTCTTCGATGCTATGAGAGCGCGTCATCTGTCATCTCGCTGACCACCACCGAGGAACAATCATCCCAATGTTGGGTCTTCTGATTTTCAGGAACAATAAGTACCGTCGACATGATCATGGAAAGGCATCATCCGCACATATCCCGCGGAACCTGCTACGTCGAGTTCGAAACCCATGAGGAAGCCAGCAAAGCCATCAAATACATGGATGGCGGTCAGATCGACGGTCAGGAGATTACAGTGAACGTAGTGCTCCCCCTCATGAAAACCGACAAACCACCTATGAGACGAGACCGCGGGGGTTTCCGCGGTGGTTTCAGGGGCAACGACCGTCGCCGAGATCGAGACAACAAGTGAGTTTTCGCTGAGCTCCATGCTGAGATCAAATGATGGATCGATCGCTGATGCTCAGAAAAATATTCAGAATCGCCAAGTCCAGCCGGTTGAAATTTCAAGCTAGAACGCCGCATTCGACCCCATTCACGGAATCTACCCCGTATCATACCCTAATCCTCGATGATTGCTCGCAGGCGCCGCAGTCCGATCCGTCGCCGGAGTCCGAGACGCTCTCCCTTCAGGAGGTCACCGCGTCGCAGAAGTCGCAGTCCAGTCAATCGTCGCCGAAGGAGATCATCGTCATCCAGAAGTTCGTCGCGCTAGGTCGATGCGGGATTTTGACAAGGCTTTCCAACATTCGAGTCCGCACTCTAAAAGAAAATCCGAGGAGACGGAATTTTTTCCTTCGCCGATAATAATTGCATCCGCGAGGAAGGCTGATATTCAGAAGAGTTTTTGAAGTAATACAAACAATTGCTCGCATCTCGCGTTTATTTCCTCTCTTCAGTTCGTAGGCTAGTCTGGGAATAATGAGGGGAGGGAAAGCTATGGATGCCTCTTCCCACGACTTCCGGTAAGGATTCGAACCAGAAATATTTGTTCTGATCCAGAATGACCTCTACGGGTCTCGGACCTGAAACTCGACCTTCCTTTGAAGGAAAGAGAGGACGATTTTCGCCCTGTTCGGCCTATCAGTACACAGGCGAGGACGGATGCGGTATCTCAGAAGCGGCACGTCGAGAGCTCAGCTACGAAGTCTAGCTGGGTTGGAGCTCCCTGTGAGAAGACATGCTGGGAGGAATAATAATAATGTAGAGCGGTCGTGGGAGACCGGAGCTGGCTCGAGCCTGAATTCCTGCTGACGATGGACGTGTTGCTTATGGTAGCGTCTTCAACCGACATAGTGATGCACAGTCCATCAACTCTTCCCGAGTGAGCAAGCTGGCCGCAAATCTCCGTCCACATAGATAGCAGGAAAGGAACCGTAGGTCTGGATCCCCTAGCATTGGAGTCCACCGCATCCGTTGCACCGTGTCGGACGATCTTTGGTCCGGGGTTCGCTGATTACTTGGAGGTTGATTCAGCGACATTGACGACAATAATGGAAAGCTTCTCGAGGTGCTCGATTACTTCCAGTCGGGAAACTTGCTCCTCGAAAACCCGTTTCGGCACAGATAGCAGTCACTACGTTCCGTGAGTCCGCTCATCGGCCTACCGTCCAGGAACAACACCTTCAAGTTCGGCTCCCGGAGGATCGGCCTCGTCTCATCGAGATACTCGATGGGCACCTCGATGAAACTCATCTGAACGGACAATTCTTCCAACGTTCCAATTACTCGAGGAATTTCAGTCGGATCTCCAATGCTCCAGAGCGTCAACCATCCGGATTCGTAGCCGCCGGATTCCATGAGTGGACACCCCTCTCTCCGATCGGGAAATGACTTGATCGGCACCTCGCTGTGAGCGGGATCAAAGCGCATGCCTCTTGGGTCGCCTAATAGGGCGCGGAGGTCTGCGGAGCTGATCTCCTGGTTGAAGTGCCGGACGAAAATTATCTCAAGGGACTCGGGGGCTAAGCTCTGCGCGGTCCAAATAAATCCTTGAAGTCCGTCCGATGAATTGACAACACATAAGTACGCAGAGTTGACCATCGTCGCAGAGGCAGTTCAACATCGCTCCCGCCCAGATCTTGGGGGAAACTTTTCCGATGAGAGTCGGCTGTACTTGGACTAACAATGATTGAGGAGATCGAAAAACCCGTCGAATGCCGCGAATGATGGCTTCGCCTCGATAAAGAGATCCCTAATCGGAGGATCTGCCTACGCGCGAGCTCCCGGATGTCGCTCTCTGGATGCGGGATGATCGTCTGAGCATGGCGACTCGGATACAGCTTCACGGAGAACTTGAACGTGTCCAGGTCTCGCAGCTGATCGAACACGCGAGTTTGCAGATGTGTTCAATAGAGACTTGCAGAGCTCTGTGGGACACGGGCTTTTCGAGGAGGCCTCGAGCAGCGTGTATTTGGGCGCCGTGCGATTCGACAGATCGAGGTATCGGTTGAAAGGTCCAATTCACGACAGATAGCCGTGGGTCGGGCTGGGAAGAACTTTGATCTTCATGGGGTCCTTGAGCTGCACAGCAGCGGGGTGTCGGGTCGAAGATTTGACAGCCTGAGGGAAAGCAAGGAGCCCTGGTCCCAGTCCGATCGAATCAAAGGGATCAGCTCCTCTCGGAAGATCAGCGGAGTCATCCTGTTCAGAAGCCAGGGTTGGAAATCAGAGTAGATAGCGGACTCCACAATCAAAAGAATAAAGAAGTCATCCCCCGCAGTATGAAGGCTCGACCTCATGCGCAGTTCTCCCGGAAGAATGCTCATCCGGGCTCACCCCACTGCTCGGATCACATTTCCGGACTTTTTCCTTTCCCTATTCAGGCGCTCCCCGTATACTACGCGGAGCTCCTTCTGCAACAATCAATCGTTCTGTTAACACACCAGAGAACGTCGAAGACTCTTGTGGATAGATTTAGCTTGCTCGTAAATACCTAAAATTGTCATTCTTGAGAAGAAATCGGTCCGCGACGGTTAAGACTGGGAGAGAAAAAGTTCATGACAACTTTGAGAACAATCGGCACTGTCGAGGGACCTACAACGGCTCATGATGTGATCGTTATCATCGATTCCGTCTCCGACCGCGCTACCGCGCCCGAATTGCGACATAGCCCTTATCGGTTTTCTAGACTCGGATCTCGGATGTCTGAACGGAGCATCGGGGGGTGTTGAAGCCGAGACTCTGAGGAGACCACAACATCCTCTTCGACTGGCCTGCGGCTCCTTCGACCGGGGACAATTCTGGCTCAAGAGCTTAGTTCGCTTCGGATTCAGGGGTTATCCCTCAACAGATCATGCGAGACGATCGTGGAGCTTCCTCAACACTATTGCAGGAGTGGGCCAGACACTCCTCCAGACCTCCAGAATAACACGAGGCTCCGCGAGAGTCGATTCTCTAATTTGCTAGAGAGAATAAGACCACGAATTGAAAAGAAGGTCACGACGTTTCGGAATGTCTTTGCGGCCGGAATCGAAGCTCCGCATGACATTGCGCTACCTTGCGACGGGCGACAGCATCGGGAGTTCGAGCGCATTGTACAGAATAGTCGAGTCGTCTGGGATCGTTCGTCTACAAGCCGGAGCAAGACTGGGTTTTCAAAGACTGATCGCTTGTAATAAGGGAGGAGTTTTTGGAGGAATCGACTTCAGTGGAAAGGCTGCGGGTACAGCTGCTACTCAAGGCAATCGGCCCGGTTGAGTACGCAAAGCTCCTCAGCGGGCTGTCGCCGGAAAAGCCGGAGACAAAGGGGTACGCCAAAATCATTGATATCTTGGAGAAAACCTCCGGTCCCACGAAGTCCATAATTTGGAGACGGCATGAGATTCTCACGCAGAGTGCACCTCTCTCGGCGCTCTCGAACCCCGAGGAGATTGTGGACTTGGCAAATCTGAAGGGAGATCAATTCGAATGGAACAGCTTGACAGACGAGATGTTTAAGATATTCTCGGCTATCAACTATGCGTCGGGTCCAGCCTTCAAGAATCTACGGAACGTCATGTTGGAAGCAGTGGACGATAAACGCAAGCTGACTATCTCGGAGTCACGGAATATCCTCGTGAATTATTCGACCCGTACTCTAGACTCCGCAATAGATCCATCTGCGAGGTCTGGTGAGGTCACGACCATCGGTCTGATACAACAGAAGACCGAGAGCCGATCTCGAACCGGGAACCCGGGCATCCAAAATTCCGATACGGGCCGGAATCCGGGCACCAGAAGCTCTTCTGAGTGTGAAATTAGTGGTTGTCTTCATAGTCGCCGTGACTGTCGGTTGTCGAGGGCTACCTGCCATTTTTGCCGACGCAAAGGTCACATTAAGAAAGTTCGTTCGTCCCTCCAGAAGAAGTCATCATAGGGTCTCAACTCGATCGAAGTCCTGAGCTCAAGCGTCGGAGAGACTTCAGAGAGTCGTGGTAGCGCCTACGCGACGGTGTTCGTAAATGGCTTCCCGGTTAGGCTCCGCGTCGACACCGGTGTTGATTTGACTACGGTCGGGGCAGCCGAGTGGGAACGCCTCAATTCACCGGGATTGCTTTCTATGGAATCGAGCTGCATCGCTGTGAATTGTCAGGCATTGAGGGTAGAGGGTTACTTCATCGCCGATTTCTCTTTATCCATCGATACCGATACGGGGTTCATCGATAAAGTGGTCCTTCTTCGGAGACGTCAGGTCTCTTTGCTGGGCTATCGACCCATTTGCAAGCTTGGTATTCTCCTGCGGTGGAATTCTGTTCCTTGGCGGAATCATCCTCGGGTGCGTCCCAGAATCTCGGAATCGTTTCACTCACGTGGAGTCAACGTTACCCGAATGCCTTCAAAGAAGGGTGAGGCCTCTGTTCGAGATTCCAAGTCAAGCTGGAACTGAAAGAGGGCTCGAAGCCTCTTCACACCCGGGCTCGACCGGCGGCAGAACCTTTCCGCGACGCCGTGAACAAAGAACTGGACCGCCTGCTAGAGAATGGATCGCTCTTTTCTGTGTAATCTTCGGCGTGGGCCTGCCCAATCGTTGTTGCTCGGAAAGCTAATGGGAAGTTAGGAGTTTGCGCAGATTATTCCACCGATTCGAATGGCGCTCTTCAGGATGTATCACATCTGATTCCGAACATGGAGGACATAATGACTCATTTCTTCGGGAATAAGGTCGTCACCCAGCTGGATCTCTCAGATGCTTACAGGTTCCGTGGGTGGGGTAGGTTAACTGAAGTCAGCTTGCATGCAGTGGAGAGAAAAAATACCGAGCGGGGATGAAGTTTCCGGCGAACTAGCAGCTTTAGGTTTATCATTCCGATCTTCAACTCCAGGTGAATCGCCAATCCTCTCTGTGGATCGGAAGCGCATGAGAGATCGTTCGGCAAGACATAGGCGAGCACTCGGAGAGAAACACGTAAGGGGAAACATTCACACCGACACGAGACCACGCACGGGAAACTGTGGGAGACCAGCAGCGTCTCGTTGGGTGAAATGTCGCAATCGAAGCGCGCGGATGCGATCCGGCCCCACCTCAGGACCCTCGATTCCGAAGAACTCTCTAGATAGATTCAATATCTCGGGAAAGCTGTCTCCCCCGTTCTCTCTTGCACTTCTGTGTTCGTGATTGAAGTCATACAGGTATGTTTCGGGCCGTGAATACGAACCGAAGGAAGTCACTATCAGGTTCGTACGCGCGGGAAGAGCGCTGATGACGTGTCAATATTTGTGATTCTAGGCTTTGTGCTCCAGTCCAAAGCTGGCGGTTGACGGCCGGCGGGCGGGCGTACGTCCGGGCAAATCGATATCATTTATGAGACTCTACGATGCCAGTCGAAGAGAGGGAATTGATTCGGGGCTTTGTTACTTTTGGGATCCGGTGCAGCACTCGAAAATGTCACAG